ATTTCTTCAATCCTTCAGTTGTAGTTTTCCTGTGTATTTGCCAATCGTGCACTTTTATAAAGCCACTTTAAAGCTTTAAATTATCAAAATACTGTCAGACGACGAAACAACAAAAAAAGACTATTTGGCACAAGGTTTTATAACTGACCATGAAATAATAAAAGAAGGTAGGAAGACCAGGGTGATAGTAAAAGCCAAACCGACAGTTTTAATAACAGTAACGACTGTTTTCCCCACAAATTAAACACTATTCCAAGGAGACTCTGAGCTTTAGAAGTGCTTTAATTTGTTTTTCAAAAATTAGTTTTCAATTCTACAGTTGTAGTTTTTCTGTGACTTTATGAATCATGTCCTTTTATAAAGCTATTTTAACGCATTAAACTAAGTTTAAGGCTTTAAAGCACCAAAATACTCTCTGACGACGAACTATAGAAAGACCATTTGGCACAAGATTTTCTAACTAACCATGAAAAAATAAAAGAAGGTAGGAAGGACCAGGGTGATAGTAAAAGGCAAACCGATGGTATTAAAGGGAATAACGATGTTTTTCGGGCTAAATTTATTTTTCAAATTAAACTACAACCGTCTTTTGTCAAATAAAAAACTATTCCAAGAAGACTCAGCTTTAGAAGGACTTCAAGTATTTTTTTTTTCAAATTTACTTTTCAGCTTCTACAATCCTTCATTTGTGGGTTTCCCTGTGACTTCATCAATCGTGTCTTTTTTATAAAGCTGCTTTATGGCTTTAAAGCACCTAAATACTGTCAGACGACGAAACTACAAAAAAGTACAGCCAATTTGACACAAGATTTTACAACTGACCACGAATCAATAAAAGAAGGTAGGATGACCAGGGTGGTAGTAAAAGGTTTTAAAGGGAATAACAATCGTTTTCTAGCCAAAACATTTATTTAATTTTTTTATTTGTTGTAGCAAAAGGCCAAACCGAAGGTTTTAAAGGGAATAACGACAGTGTTTCTTACCAAAATAATAAATTTATTTTTTTCAAATTAAACTAAAGCCTTTTTTTTGTCAAATAAAAAACTATTCCAAGAAGATTCCCAGCTTTAGAAGGACTTCAAGTTGTTTTTTTTTTCAAAAGTTACTTTTCAGCTTCTACAATTCTTCAGTAGTGGATGCATTGGGTGTCGAGCGATACGGTAATTTTCATTGAGCCTTCTTTCTGCAGTTCCTCTTCTGGAGGAAATCGAAACATTTCGGAATTGCTTTATCAGATTTCTTTTCTCATTCCTCGTAATTCTGCGGTTTCGTAGAGCCTGATGACTCAATCCTCTTTCTCATCTGTAGACCTAGGTCCACACTGTCCTGGTCTTCTAGCATGAAGCCCTATTTCTCTAAAGCCTCAAAAGCCTGACTGGATCCATTGAAAAATGTTTAAAAATAAGAATAATATCAAATGAAATCAACGAAGGAAAAAGATTAACTGAAAGCGATCTTTAGGCGTAGCAGAACGGAAGGGCATAATGATAATTTTTGTGCAAATCGGATTAATCAGAACAAAAGTAAATAAAGCATTATTTATTGTATTTCGACTATCCTAATTACCTGTAACTAATGTGGAAAGATAATGTATTTAATTTTAAACCAAATAAATGGAGTGGTGCTTTAAATTTGTTCATCAGTGTATTTTGTTAACAAAATAAGTTTTTCAACACCTCGAAAAACCCTTGAATACAAATGTTTAGGAAAATTTAAAAAAATATATTTTTTCCTCGGTTCTTTCGCTTTTTCTGTCGTCGTCCGATTTGGTTCAAAACTTAAAAAAAAGGTGATAATTTTGAAAACATTCAACCGATCTACAGTAAACATAAGAAGGTTTTAAAACCATATAGACTACATGTAATGACAGAAACTAGGCTTCTGTAAATAAATATAGAAAACTGAATATAAAAAATAAAATTTTTGAATAGTTTTTATTGATGTAATCCTAATTTTTCGTGATTATGATCACATGAAATCTGAACTTTACTGATATAGGCTGAAAGTAGAAACATTCAACTTTCTAACGGTTATAATAACTATTCAGAAATCGTGAGATGCGGTCTGGTGTGATGCAGGTTTCAGAAAAACATTTTCTTTATCGTGCCAACGTTTCGATCTTTATTGAGATCATCTTCGGGGCCTGGGCTTTACTAACATTGTTTATTGTTGTTTTTGTAAACAATGTTTGTAAATCCCAGGCCCTGAAGATGATCTCACTAAAGATCGAAACGTGGCACGATAAAGGAAATGTTTTTCTAAAACCTATGTCACACCAGACCGCATCTCACCACCTCCAAATAATCATAAAGTAACGGTCACTAACCACCACACGGTTGTAATAACATCGGATTTGGATAAAATCCAGAGGTGCTGTGAATTTTTCAGTGGAAACATCGGGCACAGGCGAGAAAAGAATGTCGCAATAATGTCTATTTTTTGATTGCGATGAAAATTTAAGGGATTTAAAAGAGTGCTTAAAACGTACCCAAATTTTTTTATATTATTGTTTTTATAGTTTTTTAAAAATATATTTAGTCTCATTACGATCTATAAATATTACTTGATTATCCAAGGTAAAGTAACAAACCTGATTTGTAATAATCTCAAAATACATGAGGAAAAAGTCACAAAAGCATGTTTTCCCGGCTCCTAGGGCCATCGTTTTTTTAAAAGGGGCACCGAAGACATTTATGCTGGTTCCTCTGTTGTAAAATTTGACCGTCTTATAAGATTTCAACCCTAGGGGGGAAATTTTCCAATCAGAGACAATCGTCTGTACGAGCCTTGCCTTTAATTTGTGACTGATCATTTTGAACTCCTATTTAATCCGCACTGAGGACTGATGAAATTTCCTTCAACTTTATCGTAAAAGTCAATGATCATGTATGCAAAAAATTCCACCCAAATGATTTTTTTTAAATTTTCTAGATAAAAGAAAATTCTGCCACCCTTAATTTGTCACATTCATTGTTTTATCAATAAATATTTGTTTATGCTATGTTTTAAATTGGGAATATAAATTAGAAGTAAACACACTTTATCCTTGGTCCAAAACAAGGATAAAGGATTTTTCAATGTGTACTTTTTACAGAATTAAAATGTTTATTCAAGCAATTATTGAAGCAATAAACTCTAGTTTTGATATTGGTTTTCTTAATTTCAATTTTTAAAATTAAAAATGCCATTTAGTGTTGAGGATGTTGTGCGTGTTATGTCACTTATTGACGATTGACGGTCAATGACAATGTGGCTATTGCCATCGGAGTTCCCTACATTTTGAGAAACTGGGTCTTACCATGGGAGGCTCGGTTCTGGACGCCCTAGGGTAACAGAACCACAGGAGGACCGTTTTTTGACTTTGAGAATTTTGTGAAACCGGCACCTTTCTGAACGCACTGATCGAAAAAGATTAAATAAGTATGGACTGATGGCTTCGCCCCGTAGAGGACCAGAACACAAAGAGCTGCACGGCTCCCATTTGCTCAAGAACACAGCAATTGGTCTTTGGATGATTGGTCTGCTGTACTTTTTACATATGTGTTTACATTAGCTCTACGATCTCCAGATGGGCGTGAAAGAGTGTGGAGAAGGCGAAATGAAAGGTACAAAACCTGCACTTTTTCCCAGAGCCAACCTTTTCAACGTGGCTCAGTGATGGCGTGGGCGGGAATGTCAGTGGAGAATCTTACGGTTGGTTGTTGTTCGTGGAGGGTCTTCGACGGCCACTCGCTTTGTGGATGAAATTTTGGAACATCATGCGTTGCCTATCCTCGATGGAATCAGCGACAATCTTATTCTAATGCACGATAATAACCTTCCACATGTCGCTCGCATAGTGCAAACGTACCTTCAACAGCATAACATCGGTGTCTTCGCCTGGCCAGTCCATTCTGCAGACTTGAACCCCATCGGATAACCTCAAAAGACTAATAAGAGCACGTCCATCACTTCCTGAAACAATCCACGATCTTGAAAGGACTCTTCGTGAAGAATGGACTAACCTCCAGCAAAAAGACATTTCCAGACTGGTTGAAAGGTATGCCGAGGCCACTTCGATATGTAATATGCAAGAGGAGGAAATACGCGATATAGAAATGTTAATTAAAGATTTAAAACTAAATTAAAACCAATTTTATCTGTCCGTTTATTTTTCATTTTCCTTAGTAATTTATTTATTCATTTTTTTACTTTTTTATACAAAGACTCGATTATTAAACGTTAAAAACATGAAACTTTGATTAATATACAAAAATATATAGAAATCATATTAAAACAAAAAAAAATCAGAAATCATGTTATTACAAAAGTGGGTGGAATTTTTTGCCTGCCAGTTTGTGTGTATATATATAATAATATTCTTTCAAAATCTAAGTTGCTTTTCTTTCAAATAGTTTTTTTGACGTTAAAAACCTTTTAGCCGTTTTTGAATTGCCTTTTCATTCAGAAATTTCGATAACGACTTCTCAAACATCGGAAAAATTTTATGGGTCAAAAAATTAAATTCAAACAAAAATTTATGCTTTCAGTGTTAGAAGTATCCCACTTTTCACTTACGAACACTCTGACCAAGGTATGGTCTTGAAGAAGAAGAAGAAAGCAAATTTAATTGCTAATGCCAAGATTTCGACCTATTGTAAGGTCATCATCAGGGCAAAATAACTTGTTCTTTTACAAGCGATTTGAAATTTCTNTATATATATAAATTCATATTATATTGTAATGTGGTACTAAACTTGCAAAATCGATAATCATGCCAATTTTCATCTTAAAAATATTTCAGAAAAACACTTTTTTCATTGTCGAGCCGACGTTTCGAATTTTATTCGACACTACATGAATAGCTTTAAAAATATGTCTATTATTTGTGACAATGGGGTTTAATAAATTTGCGATAAATGTGTGAATTTTGACAATTTATTGTTTACATTATTATAATTTTACACCTTAAGAATTATCATTGTTTATACAATATTGATGAAAATATTGATTATAATTCTTCTTCAAAATTATAACAATTTTCAGTTAAGAGCGATCGACATTTTAAATATTAAAATGTGTGATAATAATTCCAAAAGATTCCTTGCATTTGTTCGTCCCTTCTTGTGGTCAAAAATGAGTCTGCGTCTCTATGATTGACCCGCTCAATAGACTCTGCCGTGATCATCGACGACGCCTCCTCCAACCAACACAGGCTGATCACTATTTGCAATTATCGTATTGTTGTGAATGATGTTGGTCGTTCTGATCGTTGTCGTTTCCTCGGTCTTTGGCTGAACGTTCATTACCTGAGCCGATTGTTGATCGTTGTCATTATCGTCGTTGTTTGAGTTTGAAAGTTGTTCGTTTACTTGTTTGTTGTTGTCTCCTCCTTTGGTGGATGAATGTCCATCATCGGAGTTTGAATGTTGTTCGTTATCTTGATTGTTGTTGTCTCCTCCTTTGGTGGATGAATGTCCATCATCGGAGTTTGAATGTTGTTCGTTTTCTTGATTGTTATTGTCTCCTCCTTTGGTGGATGAATGTCCATCATCGGAGTTTGAATGTTGTTCGTTTTCTTGATTGTTGTTGTCTCCTCCTTTGGTGGATGAATGCCCATCATCGGAGTTTGAATGTTGTTGGCTGCCTTGGTTGTTGTTGTTTCCTCCTCTGGTGGATGAATGTCCATTATCTGAGTTGGAATGCTGCTGGCTGTCTTGGTTGTTGTTGTTTCCTCCTCTGGTGTATGAGTGTCCATTATCTGAGTTGGAATGTTGTTGGCTGCCTTGAGTGTTGTTGTTGCCTCCTACCTTTGATGGTTCTTTCGAGTCGGTTTGTCCTCTGGAAACTTTATACATCTCAGTCAACATGGCCAAAAAGCTTCCCACTTCGTCACTGTCTCCGCTGTTACTTCTGGACGGTGCTTTGCTAACACGTAGCCTGACCGCTTTATTCCTCGGAACGCATACGTAGTCTGTAGGAAAGACTGGCCCATGGTTTTCGCATGGCCTGCATCTTGGTCTCACTAGTTGGGTTGTTTCGCTGTCTCCGGTCTAAAATTAAAATTCATATTAATCTGAATCAAGGATCTGTAGAGGAAAGGTGAAAAGCCGTTTTGTAATTTCTAATAAGCAACTCTTGAGAAAGTGAAAGTCAAACAGTCAATTCAAAATTATTCATAGCACGTCTTCAAAAATGCAAACAAATTTATGAATTAAAAAAACAAACGAAAAAGTAGAATAATTGACTTCACTCACCGGAAAAGCCCAAGAGACCGAAATGAAGAGCAGAAGCAGCAAGCTACCCTTGGCGCAGTTCGTCATCCTAACAGTGTGCAGTGCGCTGAAATGAATTGGCAAAACGTTTTATTCGCAGGTAATATATACAAGGTGATGCAGTGTGTATGAGAGATTGGGCGCGTCCGACTATTATCGCCACATGCCTTCAGTCTTTCATTTCCTCATTCGAAGGAAATGTCATTTATTTGAACGATTTGTACGACCTGCGCGTTCACATCCTCTTTATCTGAAAATCTTCATGACTAGGTTTAATTTATTTAAATAAAAAGACCCCTCAAAACGAAAACAAAAGGTTCGTTAAGGGATATTAATTTGTGTATGTATGTTTCAAAGGAGGAAAAGTCAAAACTTTCGAAATGATTGGTTATTTGTAATTTGAGCATGATTTAGTTTAAAATGAAATTCGACCTCCCTTGTAAATAGCGGGACAGCAAAATTTTTTAAAGGTTGTTTTCAATATCATAACAATCGATTAATTAAGGTCAGTCCAGAGCAATATCCGCACAATAGTCAAATTTCGTAAATAACTTTCACAAGCTGCTTGATGAGGTAACTGTTATAGCAAAAGATTTAGAATTTTGACCGTCAGTTAAAAAGAGTTCCAAACTTAAAACACTATCAGGCGGTTTAAGCTACGGATTAACCCTAACAATCCATAATCATACTTAGAATGAACCATGATAAAGTTTCCAAATCTAGCCCTAATATCACATTAAAAAGAATTATATAAAAAATTTAGATTATGAAAATTTCATCAGCCAATTTTTCATTTTTACGAGTTTTGTCCGTTTTCTCTTTCAATTCCTTTGGATATAATTTTTTATATATATATTTTTTGTGTATGATAAAACGAGAGCCCTCATTCTCGTTTCTGTATCCGAATTCCTACTTACGCTTCCGGTCATCTGGGTTATTAAATTGCGATGTTTTCTTATAGGCTCTGAAGGGTAATGAACCTGTAGTACGAACTTTTTCGACCAATATTGGTTCAAAACAGCGTGGATGCACTGACCAAAATAGTTGGTAATGATAAAAATACAGCACTCTACAATAAAGTATGAGATTTCCTCATGGCATCAGTTAAGGTGATGTACGTTTATGGATTTAGTTGTGGACCTTTCTGACAATTTTGGTTCAAACCAATGAGCAACAATCAGACCAAAATGAATCGAAAAAAAAGAAGACCAGATTGCATATGGGTAGTTAAATTGTGATATTTTCCTATTGGGTCTGCTGATGTGATGAACATATAATATGGACGTTTCCGATCGACTTGGCTAAAATCAGAATAAGCGGACCAAAATGATCAAAAAGAATCAAATTACATCTGAATAGGAAAAGTGTGTGATTTCTTGACGGAGTCTGCTGACGTGATGAAGATGAAACGGAGTATGGACTTTTGCGACCAATTCTGGTCCAAAACAGCGTAGATGAGAATACCAAAATTAAAATGATCAAATTACCCCGGAGTAGTTAAATCGCACAATTTAACTACTCCGGTGTAATTTGATCTTTTTCTTTTTGATGCGACCGCCATTGTGGTCTGTTGAGGTGATAAATTTATAGTTATGGCTGTTTACGACCAATTAATTTTGGTTCAAATATGTGAGGATAAACAGACCAAAATGATTAGAAAGTATTAAATTACACGTAAGTAGTTAAATTTTGAGATGTCGTGATGGGATCGGTTATGGTGAAGAACAGCTAGTTGTGGACCTATCCGACCAATTTTGGTTAGTTAAAACCTGTGAGTATAAGCAAACCAAAATGATCGGAAAGGACTCGAATTCATAATTTGTACATATTTGTGATATTTTCCCATGTGGGGAAGAGGTACCTCTAGTTGTGGACATTATCGACCAATTTTGGGCCAGACCAAAATAATTAGATTGTGCTAAATTACACCTGAATAGTTAAGATGTCTGATTTCCTCACGTGTTCTGCTGCAGGGGTCATTAATCTTTAGGTAAAGATGTATCAACCAATTTTGGTTCAAATCAGCAAGTATAAGCAAACCGAAATGGTCAGAAAGGACCAGAGAGTAGTACTTCATCGAAGTAGTTAAATTGTGATATTTTCCCACGAGGTGCTGAGGTGATGAACCTCTGTGGATAAGAATACCAAAATGATTGAAAAAGAACAAATTACATCTTGGAGGTTAAAACTTAGATGTCCACATGTGATCTGCTGAGGTGCTGAACCTGAGGTTATGGACCTTTCTGGCCATTTTGGTTCAAACCTGTGTGGATAAGAAGAGCTAAACGACTGAAAAGAACATCTGGGCAGATCCAAAATCTTTGATGTACAGTGGCAATAAGGCCCAGATTTTCCTCATTTGGGGTTGGTCGTACTGCTTACTGCTTTGTACGACAACTATCCACTCTTTTGCTATTAATCAAGTCGACCATAATTAGATTAAAATGTAATTTTCTATTTCTTTATTCTGTTTCAGGCCGATGCTAAAATGGTATTCGACGTTATTCAACGAATGGAGGACACTGAAGCGTTTTCCGAAGAGCTCCTCGCGGCAATGAAGCGGCTGTGGCAAGATGCAGGGGTACTGGAATGCTTCGGACGTTCCAACGAATACCAGCTCAACGATTCTGCCAAATAGTGAGTACACAAGTTTCTCGACCCTTGTTAAAATTATAAAATGTCAGCACCGAAATACTTTTTTCTTGAAATTTGTCCAACATTTTGGTCCCAGTGTAATGTTTTAGAGGTTAGACGCAGACCCAGACGATCGACGAATTTCTGGACAGGCAGGAACAATTGTCAACATATTTACTAGAATAATTTTAAAAAATGTTAACAGGCGTTTTAAGGAAGTTTTTAAGGATGTGAGATGCCTTAATGTTTATGTACGCCGATGGGCATGTGGGTAGTTAAATAGTGAGATAACCCCACGGGAGACTGCTGAGGTTGATGACCTGTAGTTATGGACTCAAACCATTTTGGTCCAACCCTGTGCGGATAACCAAACCAGCTACGCTAATGGTTATCGATAAATGAAATTTTGATATTTCCTCATGTAGTCTGCAGAATTGATGAACTTGTAATTGTGGATGTTTCAGACCAATTTGGTTCCAACTGAGCGGATAACGAAACCAGCTATGCCAATAAGAGTTAAATTAAAAGTCGGTAATTTTCTAACCATTGTGGTTCAAACGTGCGAGGATAATCAAGCCATCTTAGCCAAGGATATTTGGGTAGTTAAATTGTGATGTTTGCCCATGGGGTCTGATGAGGTGATGAACCTGTAGTTATGTCGTTTCTAATAATTTTGTTCAAACCTGTGCGGATAACCAAACGGGCTACTCCAATGGGCACATAGATAGTTAAATTGTGAAATTTTCTCATAGGATCTGTGGGGTTGAGGAACCTATAGTCATGGACTGTTTAAGACCATTTTGGTTCTAATGTGCGAGAATACCAAGCTAGCTAAACCTAGCACATCTGGGTAGTTAAATTGTAATGTTTGCCCATGGAGTCTTATGAGGTGAGGATCGGCAGTTATGGACGTTTCTTCATTTTGGTTCACGCGTGCGAGGATAAGCAGACCGGGTAGGTACACCAATGGACATCTCCGTTAAGTAGTTGGATGTTCCCTTGAGACCAGAATGGGACCTGATTGGCTCTGACAGACCTGATGATTGCGAGAAGCCTATTCGTGTCTGACGAACGATTTACCACTTCTAACATAATAAACGAGTTATCAGTAAACTAATAAAAGAAATATGGCTAATACAGAGGATTCCGATCTTCCCTTCGTATTTAACATTACAATCGATTGGTAAAATATCATTTTAACCTATAATTCAAAACTCGGCATCACAAATTCAAGCTTTTTTCGTTCCTCGCCAGTTCAGTTTTGTTTTTGCCGGGGAAAGGGCAATTTACATTAATGGAGAAGGCCTTGTGAGAAAGGGAGCGTGGGCCGAGGCTGGAGCCCTTCGCCCCCTCGTTCGCAAAGTTCCAATTCGGGTCACGCCCTTGAAAACAGGGTGGCCGGGCTGGAAAATCGTCTTTTCTCCCCGTTGGACCTTTCAACGTTACATGTAACGAGCGCCGCCCTTGGAGAAGTAATTCCAAAATCTACGGACGCCCTGGGCGAACAATCAACTCGATGGGGAAGAAAATAGCCTTTTAGACGGTAATTTCTCCGTCTTGCAAAAATGGGTTAAGAATGTATCACCATTATGGAAACTAGGTTCTAAAATTAGATTTAAAAAAAAACACCGCGAAGAAAAGTAGTAAGCTTGATTTATTTAAATATTTAAAATATGGCTCATTATGGTCCACTCATTAGCCATCTTCCAGGATTGCTCGATTCCAGCGCCATTGGGATGTCTCGCGAATAATCGCAACTCCAGCAGAATTCTACTTTGTCTTGAATGCGACAATCTTGATAAAATCATATGCGGGTTTTTGACAAAAGATTGTCACGTGTGGTGAAATGTAGGACTGTCCAACTCCTACCTGCGAACAAAAAAATCCATACAGTGCGTTATTTTTTATTTTATTTGTATTTTATTTTCGTTTTTTAACTAAAAGGAAGTGAGCTTGTTCATGATCCGAAATACTAGAAACTATTAACTACCTCGTAAGAGGATGTACCAAATGGTTAGAGAGCAATGTCAACCCCACTTCCGGGCGGACCGAGGTAAAAATGGATGATCATGGGATCGAACCACTGCCATATACACGAGCCCTTCTGTCAGATGATTAATTGTTTCTATACATGTTCAAAGAAAATATTTGACCTGTAGTTATGACCGTTTCTGACAGTTTTGGCACAAAATTACTATATCCTGTTATTTTGGTCTCTTTTTGAGTATTTCTTATGCTGCATGGATCTGCAGCTGTCTCTAGGTGTTCTTTTTGTAGGAAGAAGATTTTTTTTAAAACCTCTTGTCGGCCTAGTACCTTTTACCTTGAAAGAAAAATGTAATACCCAATGATTTGTTAGAAAACACCAATGCTGTTTATGGCACCACGATCGACCGAAAAGCATTTCTTGTGTCTTAAGAAATATCCCTGTTTATGGATGGTATGGATACTAAAATACATAAATAAGGAAATAAAAATATATAAATAACGATACTAGGAAGCGGGGTTTGTGCTCCCCAGGCACTGCAGCCTTCTGGCTTATTGTACCGTCCTAGTTCCTTAGTTCAGTGCAATAGACTCAATCCTTCTCCGTAGAAGTATTAGGTCATTGACTCTCGCTGCTACAATTTGATTCCCTAAGTTTTTTCGTATGTTAGGTTAAATCTCCATTGAGCTGTTGATTCGCATTCGAAGATGATATGGGTGGCTGTTTCCTCCTCCTCATTACATAATCTGCAGATGGGATCATCGTTGTGTATGCCCATGTTGTGAAGATTTTTTCTCAAATGTCAGTGTTCATGTCAATGTCACCGGTTAGTAGTCCTATCACTCCTCTGTGTTTAGCCCTCTCCAATTGCAGCAGTGATTTGAGTCTTGGTGAGGGTTGTTTCATCATAAGTTTACTATGTCTAGCACCGCTAGAGTTTATCCACTTCTGCTTTTGTTTTGTTTGAATCCATTCTGCGATGGAGGATTCTATATTTGTTTTTGTTATCCCAAGTATAGGTTCGGGGCCTATGGGCGGATCCTCCTCTGGCCAGTCAGTCTGCTTTTACATTACTCAAAATTTCTCTATGCCCTGGCACCCAAGATTGTTGTGACATCAGATTGTTGTGTTTCCCCCGGTTTTGAAGATTTTGGATGCCTTCACTGACTAATTTTGATGTGATTCTTTTACATGCTAATGCTTTAATGGCTGCTTGGCTATCTGATCTTATGAGGATTTTTTTTTGTCAGTGTAACCTCTTTTAAGATTTTCCAGGGCACATGCACTGATGGCATGCATTTCTGCTCGAAAGACCGAAGTGTACTTCCCTAATGAGTTTGATTGCTAAAGTTTTAGGCTTGTACAGAAAACGCCCGATCCGGTTCCTCCTTTGTTTTGGAGCCATATGTATACCATATCATTGTATCTGATCCTGTGTTCTTCCTCTCTTAATAGTCCTTTGAGACTTTATAAGATGTTGTAAAGAATGTTTTGGGGATCATATAGTCCCCATTTCTAAGAATGGTGGTGTTTGATTTGGTTAATTATGTTTGTATGCCCGAATTGTTTAGTTCCTATCCAATTTGATTGTTAATGCTATATAAATCAAACGGGAAATAAAGTTGTTATTTTGTGGTTTATTTTGGTAGGGATTGTTCACAATTTTTCGTCCCACGTAAAGTCAACCTACGTCCTGCCCAATCTTCACTTCTTTATTATTGGGTTGTCCGGAAAATAATGCAGGATTTTGGTATTAAACAAAAAAAAAGAAACTAGTTAATTTAAAGCAATGTTCTTTAATCAAAATAATTTCCCATACTCTCAATACATTTCTCCCAACGTGTTGGTAACTTATTAATTCCGTCTGAGTGAATTTTTAGAATTGATAAAGTCAATAAATGCATTTTCCAGTTCCGTTTGATTTTTGAATATTATGTGTTGTAAGTAGTGGTCCAGGTGTCTAAAAAATGGTAGTCAGTAGGCGAGAGGTCCGGAGAGTAGGGTGGGTGAGGCAAAGTTTCATAGCCAAGCTCCAATAATTTTTGTGACGTTACACGTGACACATGTGGTCGAGCGTTGTCATGCAACAAAATGGGCCCTTTCCGATTGACCAAAGAGGGCTTCATTACTGCCAATTTCTGATGCATGGTATTAATTTGGTTACAGTATGATTCAGCATTGATGGTTTCGCCAGGATTTAAGAAGCTGTAGTGTATTAAACCAAATGAAGCCCACCATACCGTAACCATTACCTTTTTTTGATGAGTTGGGGGCTTTGGAAAATGTATTGGAGCTTCTCCTTTGTCGAGCCACTGTCCAGAACGTCTAGTGTTATCGTAGAGAATCCACTTTTCGTCACATGTAACAATTCTGGCCAGAAATGGGTCATTTTTGTTTCGACAAAGAAGTGATGCACAAACATCAAAGCGCTGATTTTTTTGGCGATCGTTTAATGAGTGTGGAACCCAATTTTCGAGTTTTTTCACTTTTCCAATCGCCTTGAGGTGGTCAGCGACGGTCGTTTTACTGACTTTGAGTTGCTCTGCAAGTTCTCGAACAGTTGTTTTGGGGTTTTCTTCCACCACTGATCGCAGAACATCATCATTAAGAGAGGAAGGCCTTCCACGACCTTCTTCATCTTCAAGGCTGAAATCTCCCTCCCGAAATTTTTTAAACCACCTTTGCACAGTGCACTCATTAACACAACCCTCGCCCCAGACTTGGTTAATGTTTCTAGCCGTTTGGGCTCCGCTTCGGCCGAGTTTAAACTCGTAAAAGAAAATCGTACGAAATTCTCGCTTTGACATTATAAGGATGACTGAATTATTTCCAAGTAGCGGAATGCTACAGAGGTAAACAAACAATATCATTTGGAAGAGGATTAATAAGTGTTGACATTCATACAAATGAGTAATCCTGTAAACGTAAACAGAATATTTTATATAGATTTTTTTTAATGAAAACTTAAAATCCTGCATTATTTTCCGGACAACCCAATAGCTGTATTGCCAAGTTTATTTTCCCAGCTGTTAGTGTAATTCTTTCTTTTTGTTTTCATCCTAGACCTAAATCGTAATAGAGCCCGTTTGTCAACTGGACCCTTTGTGAAAGCGAAAGTCGACACTTCTGCAATAAGTACCGGAGCGTGACTCCGTGGGCGGATTTACTTTATTCTGGAAGGCTGCTTACGCACGAAGTCCCGGGTGGTGGGGCGGTTGCTTGATGAAACAGCGGACAACAAACCGGGGGGCGGGGGAGGCGGCAAGGGTCTCCCGTATTGATCGATACGCGGGGGCGGCTGGCAACCGTGGCAATGAACGATGAGGGGCGGAGGATCTCGGAAGTCTTGCCCAATGGTGCCCTACGACTCAGCCACAAATCGTCACTTATTCATTTATATACAGGGAGTTTAAACCTTTACAAATTATTATACAAAATACAAAATATTATTGTCATAACAGTATTTTTAAAAACGTACAAATATTTGAAGATCCCTTTAAACCACTTTATACAAACCAAATAAAATAAAAAGTTGCTAAAGTATTATTAATAATACAACGAAATTAACGAGAAATATGTCTGTAATTGAAATCTAATTCATCATCATATTTTTTTTATTAATGAGAGAGGAGATACAGGCATATGCCATACTACTCGCGCCAATCATGCTACTACTCCAAAATATAACTTCACCCAGAAGTACCAGGTACTTATACCAGGAAGGGAAGAGTGGGCCAAAGGAACACCTCTGAATGACAACTTCTACCGGTATAGCGATGCGACACTGCAGGCTACAGGTTTTCAGTTAATATATTTCCGTCATTATACCAATTGAACACTGCGCCAGAGAAATAAAAACGCTAGGAACACATTCTCTGATAGTCAGATAGCACCTAAGGCCTTGCCTCATCCGAGTTAAAGGTAAAAAGACATGGCAGAAGTCAGTGTCACCGCCTGGCCCTGAATCTCTGGGAATTCGGGACATAGAGACAATGAGAAAGAGAGAAAATGTTGGCCAAAAAAAGGAACCAAAAACCAACACCCCAGGAACGAGGCACGTGGAGAGATTCATAGAAGAGTCATCCACAAGACATACAAAGAAATTAGTGGAGGGCAACTGCAACAGAACTAGGATTCTAGTTAAACTCCTGAAGGGGCACCACCTCCTAAGAAAGCACACGCACCGGATAGGAGTACAGACAAAAAAAAACACTGTTCAGATACTGCCAGTAAGAAGAGGAGACCTCAGAACACATTCCATGTTTTTGTGAAGGTCTAAAAAGGTGCAGATTCTTGCAACTAGGAGAGGAAAGCTGCAAGGAAGATCCTACCAAAGCTATAAAGGTTAACAAACTGGAGGGGGGGACAGAGGAGCAAAATAGATCTACTAACTACAATACAATAAATCTACTGAAGGCCTTGTGGCTGCCTCTTTTATCCCTATCTCTATAATTTGTCAATACTGGACGTTTATGATATATGATCCCCTCTGATTTGTCCTGACTTGTCGTTTGTGAAATATAATCCTCTATGATTTGTCTGTATTGATTGTTTGGAATATATGATCTCTCTATAATTTGTCTGTTCTGGTTATTTGCGATATATCATCTCCCTATATTTTGTCAGTACTGGACATTTGCAATATATCAACTCTCTATAATTTTCCTGTATTGGTCATTTGCGATAAATCATCTCCCTATAATTTGTCTGTTCTGGTCATTTGCAATATATCATCCCGCTATAATTTGTCTGTTCTGGTCATTTGCAATATATCATCCCGCTATAATTTGTCTGTTCTGGTCATTTGCAATATATCATCCCACTATAATTTGTCTGTTCTGGTCATTTGCAATATATCATCCCACTATAATTTGTCTGTTCTGGTCATTTGCAATATATCATCTCCCTATAATTTGTCAGTCTTTTGCGAGATATGATCCCCTATTATTTGTCAGTACTGGTCTTTAAATCGTTATGGATCTATAGGTCTTTTTTTCTTGGTTGTGTATTTTATTAAACTTTTCAAAGGAGGCTTGATGGACTAATAAACTATTTTATTTAAGGTGGCATAAAGTTGTCAAACTATAAGTTGATCCTTCTGGCCTTGGCTTTTCCTCTCCAGGACAAAGACAAAAGATGACAAGTTATGTTGTTTCTCTTTCTCCTTGACAATATCCACACAGGCTTCTATCTAGCCTATATATATATGCCTCTGGAGGCTTGTCAGAAGTACTACTGTCATTCTAGTCCTGGCACATCCGAGGTTTAGCATTTGCCATTAGTTTATGTTAGTTATTTTTATGAATTGTGTCAATCCTCTGTTATGGAATCCCATTGAACTGAGTACTTATCCTTAACACTGATGGATCTACTTTGTCAATTTGATATGTCGCAAAAGAGATTGGGGTCATGAATAAACTCTCATTGCCTAGTTTATCAGCCTATTCAGTTCCCCTCCAGTATAACTATGGGACTATGGAATTTGACTTCTTTTATTTTGGTTTGTTAATAATTTGTTTACTTGTGTCTTTTTTTCTTGGTTGTGTATTTTATTAAACTTTTCAAAGGAGGCTTGATGGACTAATAAACCATTTTTTTTAATCTCTTTATTTTGAATGTTTTCAAGATCTTTTTTCCTGTCAAATCCACACATCCTCCTGTCCCTCCTTTTAATCTACAATTTTAGTCTATCTATAAGTTTAACAAAAAAAATGTGTAAAGAAAGTATCATTGGTTTTTACTCGTCAAATTATTTTGCCCATAAAGCAACTAGGTCAGTAGTATAGATAAAAATTGCACATTAAATCTTGAAACGTCTTAGAAATCCATGTGATCTGGCAGACTTGACCTGAACTGCAATCTAATTATATTGAGATTTGTCTGCAGTTTGATCGTTCTGGTTCTTCCTCGTCCGACTATTTTTGCAGTGTCTTTATGAACGAAAATGTCCAACAAGTTGCAGTCTGACCAACAATTCACCACAACCATATGGACGCTCTGATTAATAAGTGAATATGAAAACCTACTAATATATTTAAAAAACAAATGTATTTTTAAAAGCAATGTGTGATTCACAGACCCCCCCCCCCTAAAATTGATAATAGCAATTATACCAACAAAATTGCTGACAGTAGAGAGACAGAAATTAAATGATGCCCAACTGAAGACCATTTATGCATTTGAAGCAAAAATGTTCACATAAACCATGGTCTGATTTCTACCTTTTCTCATACTGCATCAATGGAACTTATAATAACCATAACTTGTAGAAACTGTTTTGTTGTCAATGAACTGTCCAACCTTCTAAATTATGATGGCCCTTCATGTTTAAAGAAAACTTCAAAAATGTCTAAAAATTTAATAATCACTAAAATTTCATTTTGTTTATTAGCACTCTATGCTTTTTTACTTAGTGATTAAACACATGGGGTGTGTGTGTTTTTAAATTCAAATTACAAATAAAAAATAGCAGATGGTGGCCTTTTCAATATTGACTGATTATTTGACATAATTATGTTAAAAAGACCACCATCTTCATCAAATTTCTTGATTAAATATATTTTACTTGCTAATACTTTGATTTTATTTATAAAAGTTATATAGCAGTTATTATTTTTTTTTTACAGCTTTTTGGATGACTTGGACCGTTTAGGTGCACGAGACTATCAACCGACAGAACAGGATATTTTGCGGACAAGAGTCAAAACCACTGGAATAGTGGAGGTTCATTTCTCTTTTAAAAATCTTAATTTCAAGTAAGTTGTTTGTAAATTACATTATTTGTATATGATTTATAGGTACCAATGCACACGAGATCCAAATAATAATTATACTTTTTTCATATAATTCACCTTTGAAATTTTTGACTAGCATTAGAATCCGTATTTTCAATATTAATAAAATAATTTTAATTCCCTTAAAACCCAATAGTTTGGACATGACATTTTAGAAATTTACAATTGGCTATTTCTAAAATTAATCAAATTATTTCTATTCCTTAGATTGTTTGATGTGGGTGGACAGAGATCTGAAAGGAAAAAATGGATTCACTGTTTTGAGGATGTAACTGCCATCATTTTCTGTGTCGCCATGTCGGAATACGATCAAGTTCTCCATGAAGATGAGACAACAGTGAGTAAATCTAAAATTAAATTTTTTTTAAAAAATCAGAAATTTTAATTGTTCTTCTTCAAAATCACTTCAAGATTATGCTTGGAGCCTTGTCAATTGTTAAGTGGACTTCCTTGATCTCAGCGGCCATTACGTGGTTAATGACGTAATGACCATGGACTGGATGGTTAATGACATAGTAACAGAATTTGACAATTTTTCTGATGATTAACTAGAAAGATTGAATCTGGTGAATATTAAATGGATTGGAGGAACTCCACTGTTTCATTCTGTATGCTAAAGTCTTGTATAGAGTTAGTTGAGTTTTGACGGTCAAAGCTTTTCTTCTAAAAGTTTTTGTAGTTGTTGTTCAGGTCTTTTGTTAAGTATTGTGTGGGGATTCCATGTCAGTCTGCCGCCTACCCTATTTTCTATATGTTCCCGTATGTCTCCTTCAGGTCTTCAACCAAACAAAGGACATGATCTGCTGTTCTTGGCAATATTTACCCAGGATGGTTTTTGCATCTTCGAGCCTTCAGATATGCCTCTGGAGTCTGCAGTGTCCAGTCATCAGTCGTACGGCAGTTCTAATCCTTACATATATTAGTCTTTGAAGTTGTCCAAGTCCAACAAACAAAGGACATGTTCTGCTGTTTCTTATTCCTAAATATCTGCCCAATTTGTTTTTGCATCTTCGAGCCTTCAGATATGCTTCTAGTATCTGAAGTTTCCAGTCAGCATTGTACAGCAGTTCCAGTCATTTAGTAGTTCTGCTGTTAGTTTATACAATTGCCTTTGATGTATTTTTCACACCTGCACTGGGATACAGTCTCATTGAATTGAGGACTTATTCTTAACCTATTATCTGAAGGGGGTAAGTTTTTGGCAATCCCTTGGCTCCATATAGAGAGCACATAGGATCGCCACCCAATACGAGAATTGTTCTTGAGCATGGCAGCGAGTATCTACATCCCCTGTTCCGATTCTTATAGGTTATATTAGTTTTATTGTATATAGCACTGATATTTTTGTCCCCTAGTGTGTTTTAATGGTGAATGTATTTATTAGCGTGTCTGTGTAGTGTGAGAGGGTTATTAGCAGAATATTGAGTATTCAATCGACCCTCAATTAGGTTAGTCAAATAATAGGTGTTAAGGGTGATAGAGGAATTCAAGTTCTCCACTACCCTGACTGAAAGGGATGTAAATAAGTAAGAATGTATTTAAGGGTGGGTGGGAGTGTGAATGGATTTAGAAACTGATTGAGTTGGGGGCTGAAATGACCTATCTGTTGAGAGACCCTAGAGCACAACCTCATTGGCATGGTCTGACATTTATAGACTTATTGGTTAATAAAAAGATGGGAAATAAAGTTTTTTTTAAAATCAGATTGTTAAAAACAGCATTGAGCCACAATATATAAGTATTGTTGTATTCTATAATTTATTTAAAAACTGATCATTTTTATTTAAATTCTTTTTTCTGACTGTACAATTTTTATTTTTATATCACAAGAAAGTCTTCGATTTTCAACATTTCAAATCATTTTGTTTTGGTTACAGAACCGTATGCAAGAATCGCTGAAACTTTTTGACTCAATCTGCAACAATAAGTGGTTTACGGACACGTCAATAATTCTTTTCTTGAATAAAAAGGATTTGTTTGAGGAGAAAATCAAAAAATCACCACTCACAATTTGTTTTCCAGAATATGCTGGTTAGTCTCATCGGGTGCCTAACGTTTAACTACTACCGTTTATAACCATTTTTAAATTTTTTTCTTTGTCTAGGTGCTCAAGAGTATGGAGAAGCGGCCGCTTACATCCAAGCGCAGTTCGAGGCGAAGAACAAATCCACTACAAAAGAAATCTACTGCCATATGACTTGCGCTACCGATACCAATAATATTCAGTTTGTATTCGATGCTGTAACTGATGTGATTATCGCTAACAACTTACGTGGATGTGGTCTTTACTAAATTTAAAAAAAAAAAAAAATCAGTTGAATTCTATGGTTTGGCTGGTTGGAATGAACAGTTAGTTAGTAGGTGTTGATTCGTTTGTGTCTATACAAATCATTAATTTAACTCAACTATTATTTTTAAAAAAAAATTGACATTGAATCATGTACTATAAATATTTTTTTATTTCCTCTAATAACGATTCATTTACACTGAATGAAGCGTTTATTTGTTCTACAATAAAACCTTTTTAAAAATGTACACATTTCACATTTAAAAATAATATCAACTGAGCTAACTAACTGCGCAACCAAAGTGGTTACAATATGTGATGTAATTATTAAGATAATTCTGTATTTAAATATTTAAAAAAAATAGTCATAGATTTAACTAATTTCATTTTTAGTTGGAAATTGTGTGTTATATATGCTTATAATGATAAATAATTGAACATAACTTGTGTTCCTTTCTAAGTATAAATTTTTACCTTTTAACTTAGGCAATAAATGAAGACCAAATTTTTTAAACCCATTGTTAATTAGCACAACTTGCATTATTTGGATATTTCACACAAAAAAAAGAAGAAAAAAAGAAAAATGAAAAAAAGCATTTATTATGATTAAAATTTAAGATTTCTAGTTTTTTTATAAATGTGTAATTTAAAGCGAAATTGAGTGTAATTTTTGAGGAAATTGTACATTTTTGAACAAAATATTCACATTGTGATCATTGAGTTTTCGCTTTGTTCGGATATTAGAGAGTTCTGTGTAGTTAATATTTTCCAGCCGATCGAATTATTCCGCTAGCCTGTTTTTCTTTATTTTTTTTGTTTTTGTTTTTTTAATCGATATCCACATTATTGTCGTCAAACTATGGAATTTTACCCACATTTAATTGAAACATCACCAAGTAAAAATCAAGTATCAGTGTATATTTTTTTCCTGTTTATCTATCTGAATTATTTTATTTGTCATTTTTTTCCTTAAATGTAAATCTAACCAATTGGTCAGGCTAGTTTAAACCAAATATAGATATGGGATAATAAACGGGTTTTATTTTCCCACTTGACTACAAATATTGGAAAAGATAGCAGTTATATTTTGAAACGTTAATTTTTTAACACTATCATAATTTAGTAAGTGTTTTATATATTAAAAAACTATTGCATTAAATGTCCAAATTAACCACCCTAACAAATTGGGATATTTTTATCAGGATTATATTTTATTTTGATTCTTAGTATCATTCTTTAAAAACTCAAAACAAAATTCATTTAAACATGTATTAGAATTGTAGTTACGTTCTAAATAAAATACAAAAGTAAACTATTCTATCAGTATAACATAAAAAAATGAATAAAATGTGTGTCTTAAAAGCAAATCTATAAAAAAAAAAGTTATCGTATAAACAATTGTCGGTTGCTTGTAGAAAAACGTCGATTTTTTTTTTTAATTGTTTAAAGATAATTGATTATTGAATTTTATAATTATTCCAGTAGTCTTAAAATTTATTTTAAAAAATGAGATTAAGCCAAGTAATCACTTGAATTCATTGTTCAATGAATCAAATCGAATTATTTAAAAATTTTTGTCAAAATGGTTGTAATAAAGTAAATGCCCCTTGATATATTTATAAATAATAATTATAGAATTACATCCTTCCTGTGATTCGATTTTTTTTTAAATATCCATTTACATAAACAGCACAAAATTATATCAGCACAACTGTTCTATTGTAATAAGTTTTATTCAAAGTTATTTTTTCGCTTTATTAAGTCCACCGAAATAATGTGAAAAAAAACCCCTTAAATGTGCTATGAAACCATCAGGCCTGTTTAGTACAGAATTCCCATTCTATAATCACCAAAATATTGTTTTATACATCACGGTTATTGTATACATTTTACTGGATAAATAATCAATTGTGAATATATTACGTTTCTATTAATCTGCTTTGGAAAAATTAAGACAAAAGCTTAAGCTAAGTTTTATAAACTAATTGTTGTAATAACTACTATAATCACATTCTAAATTAACTGCATAGTCATAAAGAATCAATCTTATAGATATATTCTAGTCTCATTTCTGGTGAATTTTCTTTTTGTAATATAAAGTAATTTAATTGTTGATTTTTAGCTTCTATGTATGTGGAAGAATGAAAAAATATAAATATATAAATAAATCTAATTATAAATAATAATTACCTGTAAATGTTAGCCTATTGGATATGCATCCGAAAATTATAATAAAAATGTAAAGGTAATAAAAGTAACCCACCCTTACGAGAAAAAAAAGTTTTTATGTTTTTGGTATTTGCATACCAAATGTACTAAGTATACACAAAGATATACTTTGGTAATTAGTTGGTTTCTCTAAGGTGAAAGTTTCTTCATTCGAGTATATGCTTCTTTTTGCTTAGCAATATTGAAGTGTGTACAATTTTATTTTTTCTGTTGCTGTTTGTTTTCTTTTCATCTAAGTCAATATTTATGTCAATATGTATTACTTTTATTGTAACTTATAATTGTCTCAATAAAAAAAGATGAATTCATTAAATATAAACTCGTGCTTTCTTTATATTCCCTTGAAGCCTTGACTTTGTAAAAAAAAAAAAAAAAGGCATTTTGGAATTGTATCTACAAATTATAAATTAAATCTAATACTGCACAATATGAATAAAAATAATTATTAAATGAGAAGAAAATGGTATGTAATTTCACACTATTAAAGGATCAAGGATATGGTCTAGATATATGTTAAATTTGTATGTTTTACATACAAGGTACATATATGGTGGCTGCAATGGTTAAGGCATTGACACGGCACTCATCAATGTAAGGTAATCGTCCAGAGGTAAATTCTAACCTTAACCTAACCCTACCTAACCTAACTTAACCCTAATCATTGCCCTAACCTTAACTCAACATAACTAAACCCACCCACTCACACTTTACGATAATGTGAAAATTGTCATGCAAAAAATCGTCGACATATGAGGAGGAAATAAATACTCCACACTGCATTGGCTATTTTCTTCATGGTTTCCATAGCAACATTTTTGGTCAAATTGTTTTACCCGTATATTTTTCTTTAAAAATAGACATTAAACAATAATAAATTTTTCCACTTAATTTAACAATTAATACAAGTAAAAAACAACACCCGGATTGTGGTTGTTGTTGGTTGTGTCATTGTCAGTGAAGTGATTAGTGCCGATCAGTGTTGCATGTGTTCATCCAATGAACATCACCGTCTTTCATCTTTGCATAGCATACTGCCTGCAACTCGTAGTTATGAATGTAATTTAGTACAAAAATTCTAGTTAATAAAACTTATAAATTCAGAAAACTCTTTTAGATAATAAATTTAAAGTCAGGTAAAAGTCATGTGAAGAGCAAGGATAGGGAGAAGAGAATTATCAGTAATGGTCAAAGTCAAGCTAAAATATTTTGTGTAATTTATGTTTCATGTAAATTAAAAGATAAATAGTCGTAAAAAAAACTACTTAGTCTCTTTCCCTTGTTGTTATATAATGATTTGTTTTTCTAATAATGTGAATCATGTCTAACAAACACAACCATCATTCATTCATCTTTGTGCAGCGTACTGCCAGCAACTCGTAGTTGCGAATGTAATTTTGTACAAAAATTCTAGTTAATAAAACTTATCAATTCAGAAATCTCCTTTAGATAATAAAATTCATCAGGTAAAGCGTATGTAAAACGCATTCATCAGGTATGTGAAAAGCAAGGATAGGCAGATGAGAATTATCTGAAATGAACTAAGTACAAGCTAAAATATATAGGTTTCAAGTCAATAAAAAGGTAAATAGACATAAAAAAACTACTTAGTCTTTCCCTTGTTTGTCAGTAATAATTTGTTTTTCTAATAATTTGAACCAAGTCTAACAAACACCACCATCTTTCATCTTTGTGCAGCATACTATCCTAAAGGAAATAAATTCTCATGTAAGAACTTGATAAAAATTTATGCTCAATGTGGTGTTATGAATGTCCTTTCGTTAAAAAACAAAAAAAACGCAGGATAATATATATTTTATTTACAGAAGTCATGATGAAGAGTTAAGCGAGGTTAGATGGACCAGAATGATCATAAACAACCAAGTACAAGCTAAAATATCTCAATCCGTCCAAACAAAATATGAATTTGATGTAAAGGAATAGGTTTGTTTGTGTGATTTATGTTTCTAGTTAATACAAAAATAATACACATTAAAAAAAATAAAACTTGGTCATTGCATCACTTGACTTTTGTTCAGGTTGCTTAGTATTCCAATGTTAAATTTGCAATAAGAATTTTGAAAGTTTTAAAATTTATTTTTTATTCTATTAGTATGTTTTGCCATGTTCATTTGGTTTCTTGACAAAAGCCAATGCTCCTATCAGACCCTAAGGCTTTGTTAATTGATAGTATGAAAAATGTATTGTAAAGTGCTTTAACCCCTCATCCATGTCTCGAACAGGTAGTTGGACTTTAAACCCTTCAATCCTTTTTTTTTTTTTTTTTTTAAACCCTTCTGTATGATAAGAATTACTTGACTTTTATTCAGGTTGCTTAACATTACAATGATGAATTTGCAAAAGGAATTTTGAAAAATTCAGAATTTAATTTTTTTCTATTTGTAAGTTTTGCCATATTTTTAAAAGTTTGTTTGATTTCTTGAGAAAATCCAGCATTTCAAGCATACCCTCCATGGCTTTGTTAATTGATAGTATGAAAAATATATTATAAAGTGATTTGACCCTCGTCCACGACACCCAATGGCTAGTTGTACTTCAAACCCTCATGTATGGTAGGAATTTCTTGACTTTTATTCAAGTTGCTTAGTTCCACCATTAAATTTGCAAATTTTTTTAATGTTTCAAAATTTAACTTTTGTTCCTGATTCTTGTTTTATTTGTACGTTTTGTCATATATTTTTATTTTAGTTCATTCAATTTTCTTGAAAACAGAAAAAAAATGTTTTTACATATTTTTGATACACATACTAAGCCTCAATAATAATGAAGAGGAGGAAAAACGAGAATAGGCAGACAATAGAATGATCTGAAAGTACAAGCTAAAATAGTTTAATCATTAAAAAAATATTTTAGTGCATTCATAATAAGCCTGAATAACAGTAAAGTTGAAAATAGTGAGGATAAGCAAACTAAAGTGATTAGAAATGACCAAAATACAGGCTAAAATATTTTGTGACTCATGTTTCCTCGAAATATTAAAATAAATACAAAACTGGTCATATTAATTGTCAGTTCTGTAAAATGATCAACATCGATCAGTTCAATATCTGTCCATCCAACAAACACCAATATCTTTCATCTTTGGACAGCATACCATTATCAGGAAATAAATTCTTGACCTTTTGTAGGACAAGCCTGGTCAAGAAAATTGTTAAATTCAGAAATCACTTTTAACGGGTAATGAAAGTTCACAGACTTTAATTTTCGGGTCAGTATGAGCCAGTCAAAATGTTTTCCTTCTAGATAAGACATTAAATGTATTCAAGTTACAATTCCAATGTTAAATTTGCAAAAGGATTTTTTTCCTTTAGCCCCTTGGATCCGTACTATTGTACATCTAGCCATTCAACAATAAGGAATTTGAAAGTTTCTAAATTTAACTTTTTTTATATTTGCAAGTTTTGCCATGATATTTAAGTTCATTTGGTTTCTTGAGAAAATCCTGCATTCTGAGCATACGATCACATGGTTTTGATAATTGATAGTATGAAAAATATAGCATAAATTGGTTCAACCTTGTCCACGACACCCAACGGGTAGTTGGACTTTAAGCCCTCCTGTATGGTAGGAATTAATTGACTTTTATTCAGGTTGCTTAGTAACACCATTAAATTTGCAAAAGGAATTTTGAATGTTTCAAAATGTAACTTTTGTAATGATATTTGTTTTATTTGCACGTTTCGCCATATTTTTTTAGTTCATTCATTTTTCTTGAAAAAAAGAAAGAAAATTTTTTTTATATATTTTTGAATATACATAATAACCCTCAATAATAATGCAGAGGAGGAAAAGCACGAATTGGCAGACAATAGAATGATCAGAAATGACCAAAGTACAAGCTAAAATAGATTAATCCTTTTAAAAAAATTATTTTAGTGCTTTCATAATAAGCCTAACAGGGAATTTGGCAATAGTGAGGGTACACATACCAAGATGATTAGAAATGAACTAAAATATTTTGTGATTTATGTTTCCATGAAATATTAAAATAAATACCGATACAAAAATGGTCATATTATTGTCAGTTCTGTAAAATGATCAACATCGATCAGTTCAATATCTGTCCATCCAACAAACACCAATATCTTTCATCTTTGGACTGCATACCAACATCAGGAAATAAATTCTCGACCTTTTGTAGGACAAGCCTGGTCAAGAAAATTGTTAAATACAGAAATCACTTTTAACGGGCAATGAAAGTTCAAGGACTTTAAACTTTGTAAAGTGCTTCAACCCCTCGTCAACGACTCAAACTAGTAGATGGACTTTAAGACCTCCTGTATGACTGGAATTACTTGACTTTTGTTCAAGTTCCTCAGTAGTCCAATGTTAAATTTGCAAAATGAATTTTGAAAGTTTCAAAATTCAACTTTTTTTCTATTTGTAAGTTTTTCTGTATTTTTAAAAGTCATAAAAAAACTGTATGTACATGATAAGCCTCAATAATAATGAAGGGGGGGGGGTAGCGAGGATAAGCAGACTAGAAGGATCAGAAAGACCTAAGTACAAGCTAATATTATTTTAACCCTTTTAATGCTTAAAATTAATTTGTGGCTTGGTCGATCAATTTGGACTGATTGTCATCCGGGTTTTTTGGTCATTATTATTGAGATGGAATAAAGACCAAAGAACTAGGCCCCAAGAGTAAAACTTAGAATTCTTACTTACACAAATTAAGCCCCGAAATGTATACGACTAAATGGTTTTATTTCTGCGCCTAAAATAAAAAAAAAAAAAATTAATTAAAAAAACTAAATCGGTCTGAAATATATTAATAAATAATACATACGTCTAAGCTGAAAATCGTCTTTTCAACACAGTCGTCTATAATTGGACGACGAAGCGTTGGTAAAAACGACATACACTTCCCTAGCCAATATGAAATAACAACGCGGATACGAACAAACGCTGGTACAAGAACTGCAGTTGCAGAAACGGCGGATTTTAAACACAAACACAATAATTATCATAATTTACAGCATAATTCAACATACAAGACGAGAATGTTAAAAATTGCGTGGACGACGTTGAAGCATAAAGGCAAAAAAGAACCGAGCTAAAATAAGTACGTTTCCTTATTAATAAACCTCACCGACAATTTGACGATGAACACTAAAAAATAAAACTTAATCATATGATGCAGGGTAAAAAAAAATTTCCCGATCAGGTCGTCTATATTAAATTTTTTTCACTTATTTAAGGATTTTGTGTTTTTTTAACCTGGAAAATTTTTCTTTAAACGGGAAACAATTTAAAAATCTATGATTTTTTAAAAATTAAATTAGAATTATTTGATAAATAAAACTCGACTCAAGTTGACTTTTGTTTTATCAAGTCATCAAGTTATTAGATGGCTGCGGTTTTTTGAACGGGACCAACCGTCATTTTTATGTTATCGTTTGACCGTTACAGACACGAATATTACTGCTGAGTCAGGTAAACAAAATTGTGTTTTATTTTTATTAACATATTTGTATTTAATTTTGAATATTTCTTGTTTAATTGTTTTGTCGCCTTTTGCGTTTAAGAATGTTCAACGAAATTTAATAATTGTCCACATTTTTTTTTTTAAGAACTTTCAATTTAAGGTTATCAGTAGTCAATAATTTTGGATTGTGTGCCAATCTTTTAGTTTTAACAGTTTTTCAACTTTAAATTAAAAAATGGAATAGAAATGAAAAAATTAAACAATTGTTAGAACGTCTATTTTCCCTTTATAATTTATTCACAATTATATTTAAAAAAAAAAGAATTTTCCATTTTATTTTCTAAACTGTCTTTTTTTTTAAATCAGCTGAACATCAAAATTTTAAATCAAATCGACGTCGGCAAAACAAAATCTTTAGGATCAGGACCTCAAGGGGGAAAGGGAAAACTAACTTTTTCTCCCTTATTATTTTACATTTAAATAATTATCCCCCTTTGTATTGATTATCATTTCAAAATGAACCAATGGAATGAAATAAACCAATGGCCAAAATTAAAATGGACCGTGATACACAATTTAAAAATGAATGTTAAACACTTTCTCTTTTCGGCTAAATGGCACATTATTATTTTTATTTATCATTTTTAATTACATTAATTTTTATTTTAACTAACAACGAGAAAACAGGGACGTAAAATCGCAGGGTTCTTTGTGATAGTAGGTCGAAAAATTCTTTTCCCTTGTTATTTTACTTTTAAATAATTATCCCCCTTTATATTGATTATCATTTCAAAATGAACCAGTGAAATAAACCAATGGCCAAAATTAAAATGGACCGTGATACACAATTTAAAAATGAATGTTAAACACTTTCTCTTTTCGGCTAAATGGCACATTATTATTTTTATTTATCATTTTTAATTACATTAATTTTTATTTTAACTAACAACGAGAAAACAGGGACGTAAAATCGCAGGGTTCTTTGTGATAGTAGGTCGAAAAATTCTTTCCAATAAAGAATTTTGGTCGAAAAAAATACATTACCTGATTATATCGTGCGATGTATTTCAAGGTTATTATATATCAATCGATTGGTTTTTTTTTACTCACAACCCAGTTGGTGGGTCACGGGTTCGGGCCAAACTTTTTTTTGGTGATTCTACATTCCAAAATATCGGACACGTATCAGCTGTCAATAGACAAAAATTTTTCTGGTTTCACAAAAAGAAAAAAAAATTGAAAGTTAAAATTTTCCATTTGTTGATGTTCTTATTTCACCTTTTTACTTGTACAAATCTTCAAATATGTGGATAAATCATTTACGAAATTTTTATTTAGATTCCAATGAAAATAAGTCAAAGTTTGTCAGTAACGAAAATATTTCTAAAAGCCAAATGTTTTTTCGACTAATCTAGATCAAAAAAAAATTTCATGAAGCTAATATGAAATTTCGTTTTAACACCTTTAGAGATTTCTAAATATGAATTTTTGTTTATATTTAAATTTATCGAGATATCTGATTGAAACGGCTCTAATTCGAAAACGGTAAAAGTATTTTAACGACATTTGTACCATAAAAGTATACAAAATATTTCTATAAAAAATACACAAAATGGGAATGTTATTTGTCAGAAATTCATAAATTAGACTAGCTTATTTTTTATTTTTTTATATTTTTTTAGCTTTTGAGAAAAATGATGTTTAATTTTGCACTAGGAATATCAGCCAGGTCGTCGAAATTATGTCAAAAAATTAATTTACACAGATTTACGCGAAAGTCGGAATCTAAGGGTTTTTATGACGCTTGAACACGGCAATGAGGTCAAATCCAAGTTTTGACCATTTTCTGATCTACTTTGCTTATGGAATATTTGTTAAAATACGAAAAAAGCAGAATTTTGTGATTTATCATTTTAAATCTTACACAATTAGGATACCCTGCATCGTAGAACATTTTTGTTTTTATGTTAACCAACAATGAAAATAATACACTAAAAGCAAAAATCTTTTGACCTCTAAATAACGATTTATGATCGTTTATTGTTTAATTGCGTCTTAAACTGGATTTTGAAAATAAAGCTTCATTAACCCGATTAAGTCGATTTATTCCCTTAAGTCTATTTAAAATGAACACGTTGTTATTGGAAAAGTGTGGGTATTTATGGAATCACTTATTCTCACTTGTCAACAAAGCCTCAACTTATCCAATTACTACTATTTATAAATAGACTTAATTTAAGAATTTCATTATTGGTTAACATAACAACAAAAATGTTCTCCGAATACGACGCAGAATATTCTAATTTGGTATGACTTAAACAGATAAATAAACAAAATACTGTTGTTTTTTTGCTTATTTTAATAAACGTACTGTAAGCAAAGTAGGTCAGGAAATGGTCAAAACTTTCTGGACAAATACTTTTGCTATTTTGGGTATTTCTTATAGAAATATTTTATATACTTTTATGGTAGAAACGTCGTTAAAACACTTTTAGCAGTTTTCGAATTATAGGCCGTTTCAATCAGATGTTCCGATAAATTTAAATTCAAACAAAATTCATATTTAGGAGTCTCTAGAGGTGCTAAAACAAAATTTTACATTAGTTTCATGAAAAATGTTTTGTTGAAAAATATTTGGTTTTTAGAAATATTTTAGTTATTGATAAACTTCGATAGCGTTTACTATATTTTTATTGGAATCTAAATAAAAAAATGCTGTGAAATGAGTTATTCACATAGTTCAATTCAGCAAGTCTAGAATGGAGAAAAATATTAAAACTCGGCAAGATTCAACTTACAAAATTCTTTTGGTAAAATCAGGGTCTATATGCAAGAACTGGCGTATGCCGTATGTTGGAGTGTAGAATCAGCATAAAATGTTTGGTCCAAATCCATGGCCCATCGTCAGTACAATTGGGATTTTGGGTTTATGCCATTATAAGTGTGAAAATAAAGATGAATACAACCAAAAATCTTCAAGCATTTTATTTTTAATTTCCAGTTCTGATTTATTTACGGTTTAGCCATTGCATGTGGTTTATAGGGTTTTTAAAACCTTGTAAAGTTATAAAAATAAATAAATATCCTCAAAAAGGAAGGCGTAGGAACTCACTCACTCACTCTTACCTCACTCTCTCTCTCTCTCTCTCTCTCTCTCTCTCTCTCTCTCTCTCTCTCTCTTTTTTTTTCTCATTCACTCCAGTTGATTCCTACGGTTTGGTCTTAATCATAGGGGTTCCAAAATACAACTTTTTCTCCCATGGCTGGATAATGTTAAACCGATGCTATGAAAATCAGCTGAATAAAACAAAATCTTTACCAGATGTTTACTTTATGTGAATTTATAAATAAAATCAGTTTTTAAAACAAACATTCCACCGGACATAAAAATATGATGTTTTTCCAAATTACATTTCGTTTTTAATGACCGTAGCAGAAATTCTATTAGTCCTGATTCTTTCTCCAGCAATAAAACAGCAATTTCAAAATGGAACTCATCGCAATTGATAAAAGTCTAAATATTACGAACGGATTTTTTTGGCCGGGTGAACCAATTTTTCTATTAATCCAGTAAATATGGCCATTTTAAAATTTTATTATCAAATTTCTAGAAATTCCGAAACAAAACATTTTCGTTTTAAACATATTTGGAATCTGCTACCTCAAAATTTGAAGTTAAAAATCACCAGTTTTCTTTTAACTCTCTCCTATTCCAAAATACAACTTTTTCTTCCATGACTGGATATTATTAAACCGATACTATGACAATCAGCTGAAAAAATAAAAATTTACCACATGTTTACTTTATGTGAATTTATAAATTAACACCAGTTTCTAAAACAAAACACTCCACCGGACATTTAAATATGATGTTTTCCCAAATTATATTTCGTTTTTACTGACCGTACCTGAAATTCTATCATTGCTGGTTCTCCAGTACAGAAAAAACAACACAGAAACAGCAATTTCACAACGGAACTTATTGCAGTGTATAAACGACTAAATATTACCAACGGATTTGTTTGGCCAGATGAACCAATTTTTCCCTTAATCCAGTAAATATGGTCTTATTCGTGATTTTTGTAATAAAAAAATTTAATTTAATTTAATACAATTTTATTATCAAAGTTCTGAAAGTTCCGAAACAAAACATTTTCGTTTTAAACATATTTGAAAGACATGTTTCTTCTGCAAATATTTTGTCTCAACTTTACCTGTCGAAAATTAACGATTATCTATTCAAAAAAGCCCTAGCTAGGAAGTCATACTATACTAAAAAATAAATAAATAAAACAAAGTTTTGGTTGTAATTTAAGACCCAAATAGACTTTGAAGAAAATTGTACCGAAATATTGTAAGGTTTTGGCCTGTCATGGAGCAAAAAGTCCTGGAAAAATGTCAGCTTTTTTCCCATTCTGTACATTTTTCTCCAAGCCTCTTTATCGTATTAAAACAATTTTCTTAAATTTTATTTTGTAGAGCAATAAGAATTAAACAATCGTCAAATTTAAAAAAAAATCAGGTGCGGAGAAATGTTGAAAAATTGCACAATTGCGATAAAAATTTAAAATTTTGATTCTTAAACTAGAAGTTTCTGAAAAATAAATGCTATTCAAATTAATAATACATCGAATAGACTCTAAAGAAAAAAATTATAAATTAGATAAAAACCAGCTGTTCCTCCGAAAAAACAAGCGCCAGTTTAAAACCTAATTTATAAAACAAGATTATGATTTTTTACCATCATAATTGTCAAAAAAGAATAAAATTTGGTGGTTTTATTAATTAAATTAATAATTTTAACGTATATATTAGTTTATTGGGCGCTTTACAACTGGGTAAAATCGTGAACGAAAAAGAATCCAACTGGGTGAAAAATGGGTACAACTTACAAAACTTGTCACGCCTAAGAATAGGACATTATAGGCTAACCGCGTTTATTCTTCTTGACAAATGAACGTTCGATTCGCCAATAGCCGTCAAAAACTACTAAAAGTCAAGCACATTTGAACTAAATGCAATTTGAAATGGAGAAAAATACATGAAATCGTTTAATTGTCTGGTGGATAGATTCATCTCTATGAGAACCCTTTCGATTTAAATTAATCTATCTAAAATTTAGAAAACTAAGGGGAAAAAAATCCTCGGTGACACACTCTGATTGGGGGGGGATGAATTTCTCGAAAGGTTGAAGAAAACTTTATTTTCTTTCAAGTTGAGCTGCTTTTTTAATATAAACATTAAAAGCTGATTTGTGTTGTGAGTTATCTCAGTTTTTCTCTGCTTTGGGTAATTTTAACATTAAATCTGAAATAATGGGGATAAATATTCTTTTAAGGGGGTAGCGATCGTTTTTCTGACCAAAAAATACAATTTTTAAATACTTTTTTAAATATATTAAGCTAAAACTTTACATGAACCTAATAAAACTGGTCCCGTGAGATTCGAAGTTTGGAATTTTTGAAATTATTTTTCGAAAGTTGCGAATATGTATTCCACCGATGATGAACTTATTTCGCCATATTTTACGGCGTTCTCTCTCGTCTTTTATATTCTGTCAAAAATTATTTAAAAAAAAAAAAAAATAATAAACAGTCTTTACACTCGGGAAAAATCGAGCCCGATCGGAAAATCCCATTCTCATGAAAAGTTGTATTTTTCACCTTTCGGTACACTTTGTTTACAAAATTATTCATCATATTGTAACGATCTAAAATTTAGCTTGAAATTAAAAAAAAAAAAAAAAGAGAAAATGGTTCATAAAAGTGGCCTTTCTTTTGAACAAATGAACGACCTTGAAAAATTGCTCGAAAGCGGCGAAATTTTGAAAATTTGATGCTTAACAACACATAAAAAGATACTGCGTGTCAAAATCGTAAATTCCAACGAATAGGAGTGGAGAAAAAAAATAGAATAAAAACTAGCTGTTCGTCCGAAAACAAAGCCCACCAGAGCACCAGCTTAAATCAAAATTACGCATTTTTCTCCGTCATAATTGTCAAAAAGAGTAAAATGTCGATCGTTTTCAAGCTGAATCAAGTTCAAAAATGAGAATGAAGACCGGGTAAACCATTTTTATATAGACATAAAGTAACGATAAGACTGGTTTGTAGCAAAGGGCCAAACATATAGATTTTGAAGAAATACCTACTGACAAAATGGTAACTTTTCTTGCCTCTCTTTTAATCTTGGCTTTGTGATACCAAAGGATGTCATTCCAAAATCACCTGGAGACAATTCCAGTTTTCTTTTAACACTCTCCTATTAATGCGCGCTAATGAGCATCAAACTCTGTCTAATCTCCAGGAAACGGAAACAATCTTGAGACGCCTAAGAAGGTGACATTGCAGGCTACCCACAGATTCTTCTCTGCACTCTCTTCCTAAGAGAGACTGGGACAGACAGATGCATAGAGAAAGAAAGAGATAATGGGTTGATAGTATGAGAGTGTAAGTGAGTGAGCGAGTGGGTAAGAGAGAAGAGAGAGTAAATGAGTGAGGGAGGGGGAGAGAGATGCAGAGAGAAAGAAAGACATAATGGAATGATAGTAAGAGAATGGAAAGAGAGTGCATGAGTGAGTGAGTGAGGGAGAGTGGGAGAGCAAGGGAGAGAGAGTGAGTGAGAGGGGGGAGAGAGACTGAGAGAAAGGAGAGACTGAGAGAAAGATAGAGAGAGATAATGGGATGAGAGAGGGAGAGAGAGAGAGAGAGAGAGAGAGAAGAGACTGAGGCGGAGAGAGGCTGAGAGAAAGATAGATAGAGAGAGGGAGAGAGAGCGAGAAAGGAGAGACTGAGAGAAAAATAGAGAGAGATAATGGGATGAGAGTGAGAGAGAGGTAAGACTGAAAGAGACTGAGCAGAAAGAGCGACTCTATTTTGAAGGTCCCTCATTCCCCAAATTTTCCTATTTTCTTCAAGTTTGTTTTATTTCATTATATTTATTTATTTATTGGTCTTGTATAATCGTTGCAGGTTCTGACTGATAATGTAAAAAAGACAAGTCTTGTTTTAGTCTAATTTTTTCGTTTTTAACCAGTTGGACTCTTCTGCCTGGCCCTTCCTCTAGCGGTATTTACCCAGTTGCTTAAATTTACTTTCACATTGGACTTAGTTCCAGAATTGTCATTTTGGGAAAGTATTTTTCCGGTTTGTTCCTCTTTCCAATCATCGCGTCTGAGTCCTCAAGATCTGCCTTCTTCGGTCGGCTTCTTTACCGTGTTTTTGAAGGGTCCTCCTCTAACATCTTGCGTTTTTAAAGAGCTTTCTACAACGGTGTGTCCAAAAGCCCATCCAACCCTCGAAAATATTTTGCTATAAGTCCAAGTTACCGTTGCAATTAAGTAAGTAGAATCTTTGTTCTCTTTTGAAATACCTCTAAGGAAAGAATGAATAAACCATGTCGCCATTAATAACTAACTATGTTATTCTCCTCTCGACCAATAGCCATACATTTAGTTTCGCCAATCTTTATACTTCATGGAAAAGTCTTGGGCTTTATCTTTCCCAAGCAGGACCATCCCTAACCATCCCTAACCCGAGAAATAAAGTTGATACATGTTCGTTTTCTGCACCCTAAAAAACACTTGAATACAAATTTCTGGCAAATTAAAAAAAATTCTAAATTTTCGCCTTTCGCCTTACGATTTATCCGAGTATCACAAAAATGGTGGTAAGTTGAAAACGACAATCGATTCTCGGGAAACTACAAAGTTTTAAAGTGAAAAATTGGTACATCAGCGAGAAAAAAAATCGCACCATGCATCACGCTCAAAAATGCCCTTTTTCCATTTGCTTTCCAAATTCTTATTTAAGGGCTTTAGATTATGCGAAAAAAGAAACCGAATTGTTTTTTTTACATTTTTTTTACCTACTTTATTGACAGTCTTTTCGTTTTTAAAATATTTTATATCATTTAATACGATCCTCATTATTTTTTAATTGTACAAAGAAAAAAAAAATTGGCTGATTTTATTCCAAAAATTGCACATTGTATATTTCCGTCACCTCACGGAAAAATATTAGTGGTAGAACTAAATCGGGTATGTTGTCCAATGAACAAAACATTAAAAAAAAAAACACCTCTTTATACAATCAAAAACAATACTGAGTTGATTTTTTTTAAAAATGTTAGTCCTAAAGGCTTTTTCGAAAATAATTGTTATTATAGTTTTGTAACTAAGGAGTTTTAACGGAAAGTCCATGTGGACTCCAGATCTCTTATATATTTTTTTCCATAAAATAGTTCTGAGGAATGCAAAAGCTTGGCAAACTTGTTTTGTTGATTGGACCATCCCTGATCCACTTAATTAACAACTCTTAGTCAATCTCTACATCCTTACTGAAAAACATTAGACCTAAACTTACCTAACCTAAACCGTCTCTTTCCCTAACCTTAACCTGAAACGTCCCTATCCCTAACCTTGCCCTGAAAATCTGAGCGTCCCTAACCCTACCTAACTTAACCTAAACGGTCTTTAACCCCAACCTTAACCTTAAACGTCCCAAACCCTTCCTAACCTAACCTAACCAACCGATGCTCAATCCACAACACATAAATAGTCACCTGAAAAAACTGTAGATTGAGCCAAAGAATATATATCAATGGTTATTTTTTATTAAACAAGGTAAAAATAATCAACTGATACATACATAATAATGCACAAAAACAGCAGAAACATCACTAAAATCAGCTAAATTTTTTTATTTTATCCAGTGTCACTATTTTATGGAATTTTTCCAACCAAAAATTTTGTTTTTATATCTTTGGATCCAAAAACTTCTTTAAACAATGAAACCTGATAGCCGAGCAAAAACCGACGTAGCCCACATAAGAGAACAAATTTGGTAAATTAACAACTACCTAAATGCATGGACCATCTGGACTTGTTCTTTCTCACTTTTTCTCTTATGTTTAACATATAGTATACTCGGTTTCTTTCTATCCTCTTATAAGTATATTAATTCCAAATAATTTGATTAATTAGTAACAATTTTGTTCTTATTGACTTATTTGAATTGTATATTTTAGGTTGTTGTTGTACTGACTATTTACTAAATGTCAAAGCTATCAGAAAGATTATTGATCAAGAAGAAACCAGTGACGCCTGTAAAGCCAGATGACAAAAACGATAAAGGAGAGCCATCATTCATTCAGCCGCCTACTGTCACACAAAATCCATTCCCTGCAAGAGGAAGGGGAAGGGGAAGAGGAAGAGGACGGCTTCCTGTCACACAAGAAGTGGGGCTGCCACCAGCTCTGGAAGACCCCATTGTCAAACCAAAAGGTAGAGGAAGAGGCCGCCTTGACCCGAAATTTTACCACCTTTTGCCCAAAACAGATGACAACAAAGACAACAAAGATGCCAATGCAGGTCAAACGGAACAAGCAAGGGAATCAATTCAACCACTACCGTTGAATTGGTTCCCTTGTATTAATGATGAAAAGGAGATGATGAAATTTATACAACAACAGGCAAGAGGAAGAGGAAAATGGTTCTACATACAAAAACAGTAAAATAGTTCTCCTTTAAAGGTTTTCTAGAAACCTTTAAATGTTAGATTGATATAAAATAAAGATTAGCTTTGACATAATTTTTGTTTTTTTAGTAATAATAATAAATATGTATATAGTTTTATGTCAAGAAACTTCAGGGAGAAATTTTATTTTTTTAGGGTATGGGAAACATCAAAAATTAATTATCTATAATTTTTACATTTTAAATTTATTTATTACTTATTGTATTATTTGTAAGTAATATTTAAAAAAAAGAAAAATTAACTTACCAACAAGCCTCATTCATGGCCAAGATAAAAAAAGTAAAATTACTTAAATTAAACTAAATATTAAAAACTTACTGATTATTTGGAGATCATGAGATGCCGTCTTGTGTGATGTAGGTTTAGAACATTTTCTTTACTGTGCCAATGTTTCGTCTTTATTTAGATCATCTTCAGGCCTCAAAGTGTGTGTTTTCTGTGTAGATGTGTCACGGTTGTGTGACGTGTTGAGTTGAAGATGATCTAAATAAAAATCAAAACATTGGCACAATGAAGAACATTTTTCTAAATCTGCATCACCCAAGACTGCATCTCACAATCTTCAAATAATCATTAATTAATGGCCACTAAATATACATATTAAAAAATACATTATTATATTATATTTNGTTCAATAATTAGTAAATTATATAATATATTAAATAAACTATTAAAAACGCAATCCTATGCTGGATCTAGTGCGTAAAGCCAACAACCCCTGCCACAGTAGAGTGAGTATGGAGCATGTCACTCTCGCAGCAATGAACATTGAGATCGACAGTGTTCCTGGTTCCTTATTTTCTTTGCATATTGGCCGTTACTATTAAATTATTATAATGCATGTAAAATAATTAGTAAATTATTATATATTAAATTATTGTATTGTATATTAAATAATTAGTAAAGTATATATTAAATAAATAATTAGTTAATTATTATATCATATATTAAATAATTAGAAAATTATTGTGAATTAAAAAAATAAAATTACATTTTATTTTTTGTACTTGTAATATCCCATCTCTTTCCATCTTATTTAATTTGAACACAGTCCTATGCTGGATCCACCCAGTAAAGCCAATAACCCCTGTCACCGAAGAGTGAAGTGCATCTGACACTCTCGCAGCAATGAGTGTTGAGCTCGACAGGACTTGAAGCTGGGTCCTTCACCTTGCAGTGAGCGCTGTGCCAACACCTAAATCGTTGTGTCCATCGACGCCCTCCCCTCTGGTTTATTCCTCCCTTTCCTTGTTCTTTATTAAGTGCAATTGACTCGGTCCTTCTACTAAGGAGTGTTAGGTCACTGCTACAATTTGTTTACCTGGGTTTTCTTTACATCCCAATATTATGTCTCCTTGCTAGTTGCTTCACATTCTTCCTCCTTGTAGCACAACCTACAAATGGGGGTCATCCATGAATGTTCCCATGTTGTGTAAATGTTTTCTCAGATGCCAGTGACCAGTAGTCCTAGTTCAGAGTTAACTCTCTAACTGTAGCATTTGCCTTGGTTGTTTTAACAAGCTTACTGTGTTGCATCTAATTTATCCAGTTCTCCTTTTGTCTTTTATGCATCCATCCTGTGATGGAGGATTCTGTCTGTTTCTCAAGAATAAGTTCTGGGCTTATATATGGTCTTGAAGATCCTCGTCTGGCCAGGGTGTCTGCCTTTTCTTTACCAAAAATTCTCCATGCCCTGGTACACAATATATCAGGTTTTGGAGATTTTGAATGCATTCATCGACTAGTTTTGATGTGATTGTTTTACACGCTAAGCCTTAATAGCTGCTTGGCAGTCTGATATTATGAGGAGTTTGTTTTGTCAGTGTAACATCTTTTAAGATTTTCTAAAGCAAAAGCGTTGATGACATTTTAGCTTGAAAGAACGAGGTTTACTTAATGTTTAAGTTTGAATGCGCTTATTTTGGGATAGTACAGAAAACACCTGTTCCAATTCCTTCTTTGTTTTGTCCCTGTATTCCATATTGTAACTGATTTCCACCTGAATTCTTGTCTGTTGAGGCTTTATATGTTGTACAGAATGTTTCCAGGATCACGTAATCAGTCCACATTTCTAAGAATGTGTGTTGGATTTGATTAATTATTGTTGAGTGCTTGAAGTATTTAGTTCCCATCAATTTGATTGTTTTTGAAGCCTAATGAGCTTTTTTTCTCGATTCTTGTAAAAATATTTCCAATGAAGATTTAGCAGTGTTTCTAGTGCAATTGACAGGGCTGTTTTCATTGCCCCCCCCCCATTATTCCCAGGTTTGTTAATCTTTGTATGTAATGAATGTCTGGGTAGCTTGTTTTTAGTGAGCTTTGGTCCACCATAGGGAGCCATTGGTTACTTTAGGTCATATTAGCCGATGGGTCATTTTCAATTTTAGTCACTAAGATTTGCTTAGAGTTCTTTTTGTGGTCATTAGTGATGTTTGGTTTTTTGGTATGATATGCTGGAAGTGATTTTACTATACATGTTATTATACTATACTTGTTAATTGCCAAACTGGGGGAATCTAGGTGAACCTAATGCCATCCCTCGACCTAGCCTTAAGGTAAAAATTTGAAAATATGGGCAAACGAGGGAAAATTTGAAAGGTTGTTGGTTGAGATGAGGGGTTGGTGTCTGGGTGGATTGAAGTAGCTACAGTGGACTCATGCCAGGGTCAGGTCATTGGTGTCACTGACTTCCACCAGAGCCTCCAATCCAAATACTCTTTGCCTTCACCTCAAATGAGGCTAGGGCTTTTAGTGCTGCCTCACTATTATAGAAGATCACTTTCTCCTGGGAATGCATTCGTTACCTTTTTATTTCCTTGGCGCATTGTTCAATCACTATGATTTACACTAGATCAGACAAAAAGTTTTTTTTTTCCTTCCTTCAGTCATCGAAGGGTAATTTTACTCTGGAGGAAAAGGTCGATTGGTGGAGTGGAAGTGAGTTCCTGCAGGGCATGTGTGGGAGCCGTACAATATGCCTTTGATAACCTGAAAAGGCCTATTCTTTGGCCTTGCTCCAGAATAGACATTCCCTTACTTTTTAGCTGTCCTTTTATTATTCCTAGGTATTTAACCTTGATTTTTAATGGCAGCATTTTATTATAGAAGCATAGGCCTTGTATTTCTGTTTCTTTTCTTGGTAAATGCAATTAGTGTAGTTTTTCAGAATTCAGTTCCATGTCCCTGTTGTGAGCACCCTTGCTCTATCATGTTGAGAGTTTTTTAAAAATTGAAGTGACTATTTCTCTGACTAGTATAACAATGTCATCTTCATAGTCTTGGGTACAGATTCCGCTTTGAGGTCGTCCACAACTACATTTCACAGCAAACCCTTGTTTCTTTTCTGCAGAGCAAGACCATCCCCCCCCTATCAGCATACTGAAGGTGAAGGTGTTATCATGCAATACAGAATAAAGTCCATTTTATACCAACAAGAATTTTACTTTGTTGCGTGTAATTATAATGATTATATATTTAAATTTTACATCTGAGGATTGACCACTTTTATTCTTATAAAAAATAATTATTATTAATAACCACAAAAAAAGATACAAATTATTTTTTAATTTTAAAAGGGTAATAAGTCCAATAATACATATACATATATAAACACCAATTTTAAAAATTAATGACAGTCACAAATAAATAAATTGAGTGAGCCAAAAACACTCCTTAAGGCAGAATAGCATGTTTTTTTAGCACTGATAATTAAAAAATGTGCTATTTTCCATCCACAGATGGCAATATTGCTTTTACATAAATAAGAGTTTTAAAAATGCTAATAAAAATCATTATTAATTCACAAAATTCTTGCTATCTCTTGACCTACCTAGAAAACTTCTAAAAGTACACAGCTCAATAAAGATCGCAAGCACAAATCTAAAATTGCAAATAAATACAACAGTAGCTTTATTTCATATTATTTATTTATTTTTTCAATCCTTTTTCTTTAAAATTATATATTTACACTTATGTTAATTCACTCTCATAACTATGGCATTAGCAAACCAGGTTGATGTCCTTGAGTACAATTTAGACTTGGACAACCTTGTTTAACTAAGTCTTTATCTGCTATTCATTAAACATATTTAGGTCTTCAAATGTTGACTGTTGGTCCAACATCTGCATCATCATCACATCAGATAGTTCATGTGGCGGATTGGGCTGCCCGGTTCCACTGCCTACGGGATGACCGGCACTATTGCTTGTACCCTGTCCATCCGGTTGACCTTGGGACTGCCATGGCCATAAACCTTGAAACAGGAACATGGAATTTAAAATATGTTCAAATATACCAAGGAGCAAGTGGAATGATACAAAATTAACCCTTTTCATATCATTACCATTATCAGTCATTGTAATTAACCTAAAGTGTCTCTAACCCTAATCTTAATGTGAAACCTTAACCAAAACTATCTCTAACCCTAATCTTAACCTAAAACGTACCTAACACATCCTAGCCTAACCCAATACTCAATTCAAGGTAACACAAAAATAGTCACATAAAACAATTTTGTAGATTGAGTCAAAAAGTATATCCATGGCAAAAGTTCATTTGATGACAACTGATATAGTGTGTTACTAAAATTAATAGAAATGATGAAGGTGGGGTAAATATGTGGATTCACTTTTTGTAAATAAAAAATTACTTATTTTAATTAAGTAATTAATTGACAACATTAAATTAAATCTGTGAGTTATTATGCAATCTCCGACTTTATAGCTCTTCGTTAAGCTTAAGGCTTTTTTTTCCAGATTCCTAACTTTGTTAAGGGCTCCTGTATGTATTCGTATGCTTTTCCATGAGTAGATTCCACAAAAAGAGTAGTCTTCCAGTTCCAAGTAGAATATGCTGCAAAAGAGTGCGACTTGATCGATCCTTGGCCAATATATTAACCACTTCTTTGTCCCTCTGCCTCATATGCTCTGATAATTTTGTTGTTTTCCCCACCCACCAACATTGCAATAAAGGAGATTCATTCCCATTTACTATTAATTTATTTAAAACATCCACTCCTATACATAACATTTCAGCAAAGAAATAGTATTGTTATGTCATATTTACCAGGGTTATTTGTGGTACTTTGATAGGGAGCTTGAGTCGCTCTATTTCCGCCACTGAGTTGCGTGTATGTTGGTCCAGTTGGTGACCGAGACGGACTCACCTCACTATACTGATACCCTTCACTCACAGGCTAAAAATAACAATTTGTTAGTAATCAAAATATATAAAAAATTTGAAATAATAAATTTTCTTATTGTTGTAAGAAACCTGTCCCTTACACTATCCCTAACCCTACCATGCCTAACCTACCCTAACCATTCCTTACCCCTTAGAATCAATAATCAAAAACATATCCGTCTTAAAATTATTTTCTGTTATTGACAAAACAAAATTATCTTCTATCTGATCTAAATATTTATTTTCTTTGCTAAGATAATTCTCACATAAAGAGAAGTGTGTGAATAGGCACCACAGATTTGAGAAAAAAAGTGCTCTTTTCATTCATCAAGTCATTAACCTACGGGTCCCCCAATCAATCTGCATGGATCACAGTATGGAAAAGGTTGTAACAAAAAAAAGATAATTTGTTAAAATACAACATTAGGTAGTAAAATAATATGTAATAAATAAGAGTTTAATGGGAGGGGACTGTAACCCTACCTAACTTAACTTAACCTAACCTGTCCCTTACAGTAACCCTAACCCTAAATAACATACTGTAACTATTTGTATGCTACCACAACCCTCGATAATGAAGAATTAATGATCAAAAAGATATCCATGTTAAAATTATTTTCATTTAGAAATGTGTGGTGATTAGTGACCATTAGTTGATTATTATTCGGAAATTGTGAGGTGCGGTCTGGTGTGATGTAGGTTTCAGAAAAACATTTTCTTTACCGTGATGATCACAATAAAGATCAAAACGTTTGGCACGATAAAGAAAATGTTTTTCTGAAACCTACGTCACACTAGACCGCACCTCACGATTTTCGTATAATTATTTTCATTATACAAGATCACGTCTTTCAATACATCAGGTTTTTTACATAAAAATGATAATCATGTTAAAATAGTTGTTTAAAAGATCTAAATATTTTTTTCTGTGGTACGATAATTCTCACAAAAAGAAAAGTGCCTGAAGAGGCATTGAGTCAAATGATTAGTTTTGTGAGAAAAAATGAACTTTCCACAGCAGGGTCATTATACTAGGGGTTCCACAATACACATATATCGATCACAGTATAGAAAAGATTGTAATAAAAAAAAGATAATTCGTTAAAATAGTTATACATAAGGTAGAGAAATAATAATGAGAGTTTAATTGGGGGGGGGCTGTAATCCTACTTAACATAACCTAAACACTAAGTTGTGCCTTCCACTAGCCCTAACCCAACCTAACCTACCCTAACCTAACCCTACCTAGCATAACTAAACCTTTTTCCCACTTCTAAATCTAACCTAACTTTGCATTAATTCTTAATCCTTTAGTTTTAAGCTTAACATTCTGTATTATCTCCAATAGTCCTTCCGCTAAGCTGTTGGGCAGTGAGATGTTGTCAACTACTAGAAGGGTTACTACTGTGTGATTCTTTGAACACTGGTGCCAGACTGTTTTAGTTTATTCCATTTTAAATGTGTACATATCAACTGTATGCACAAGTTTAACAACTTGTATACAGTATATAAAAATACATACTGTAGTTAAAAATCTATACAAACCCAAGCACATTTTCTGTTAATGCAAAATCGATGACGAAAACAATTTTGTATCCAGCCCAAAAACATTTCTATTTTAAAACATTTCTTTTAATTCAATACATAAAAATTGTAGTAGGACTTTTTCAAACAAAATCCAAAGGGTGTAGAGCAGTTGACTGAAATATATCAATCGAGTTTTGTTGGCTGTATTTTTACAATTTAATTTCAACATTTATAGTTACATTTTTTAATTCAGCGTAAAATTATATATATGCTTATTTATATTAATGTTAATGAACAACCTGACATAAAGTCCATGCTGACTGGGCAGGTGTAGGACTTGCTGTTGGTTTGTTTATTCGGGCCATGGTTTGTTGGGCAGGTGTCACATATTCCAGTGGTGATTGCGTAGTTTCATAATTGTAAACATGGCTGGCTCTGGCATCTGCACCTATTGACATTTCACATATTTAAGGCAATTGAAGTGGGAAAAAAGGCCAGCTAAAATACCGTGAAGATTGTGCTGCGGAATGTGAGTTGAATATCTTTGTAAGCTGTAGTCAACTCCTGGTTGATAGTTGACATTTTCTGGTTGTGGAGCCTCGTTTTCAGGTCCAGTTTGAAGTGACCTAACCGAAAGAAGAAATTTATAAATCAACTCAACACAAAGTAATAATTTTAACGACAGGTTATTTACTTTGCAGTAGTGTTTGTGCAGACAATATATTCGACTTCATCGGTGTAAGGATTTAGGAACGCAAAGGCGGACGTCCTTAACCACAACCAATCCCTGTTTTTAGTTCGAAATCTATACATTACTGACATCACTTGGCCTTTTAATTTTACAACTGAAAATAACAAAATCAATTGTATTAAAAGATCCATATATATATATAATTTTTTTTTCAAATGTGAGGACTATAACCTTGTTCAAAAGATTCCTTCATGTGCGTTTGGTCTTCATGGTGGAAAAAGTCAAAACAAGATTTTCCAAGTAGTTCTGGTGGAGAATAGCCTAATATAGTAATTACTCTTTGGTCAACAAACGTGAATTTTCCCTCCATTGAATGGCGAGATATAAATTCTGAAACATACACAACAAACCGTATATAAACAAAAGCTATTATTTATTTTTTTTCAAATAAATCAAACTGTACCAGAATTACTGCTAGACCCTGAAATATCACTAGTATTTGGTGTTGATGTAACTTGGAGCCTACCAATGGCTACAAGACAGCAATGTGTACCATCATCTTCAACACCTCTTTCCATTTGAACTGCTGAAAGAAATGTTTACTCAAATTAAATTTCATCATAAAACATCATAACATATTTGATTGGTTTCAAACAATTCCTGTCATTTTCACTTATAAGTATTTAAATACTCCTATAATGCATCACGATAGGTATCCAAATATATATTTTAGTGAAAAAGCTTTTCTTTTAAAAACACTAGTGTTAAATGATTCTTCAATGTATTTAATAATGAGTAGACAATTTGTAAAGATCTGAGAAGTATGCTAAAATTTGGGATGAGAAAATGTCTTGAAAAAAAAAATCTTAAGCACTGGACTATACACCAGGTACAAGGCAAGCTAAGAGATGGGAACTCTCTCCACAGGGAAGATTTGAGAAAAATTATATACTGGCCTCCTCACATGCAGACTATGTCAAGTCAATGTTGTTATTTGACCTCCTCCAAAGAAAAAAATAAAAGAAAAAGAGGGAAAGACAATTTAAATTAACATTAAATGAGAGTTTAATGAGGGGGAACCCTAACCCTACCTAACCTGTCTCTTAAACTAACCCTAACTCTACCTGAACTACTGCAACCATTTGTAACGTAACCCCTGATAATGCTGAATCACTCATCAAAAACATACCTATATTAAAATTATTTTAATATAAATATGTTTTGACGGTTGATTCAACATTACAATTAATTTTCATTATTCAATATCACCTCTCTCAATATATTGGTGGTTTCAGATTCAAAATGATATTTGTGTTAAAATAATTAATAATTATTTAAAAAAATAAACATTTATTACTTCAGTAAGGTAATTGTCACATAAAGAGAAGTGCCTAAAGAGGCACCGAGAAAAATGAAGAAGAAGAAGAAGAAAAAAAAACTTATTCTGGGATAGGATGTGTCTTCTATAATAATAGATAGGATAAAGTAAAAGTTATTAACATTTTGACAAAAATAAACCTTGTCGTGGTGAGCAATGCAATAACAACGGGCTTATACAAAACAAAACCCAAAGGAGTTAAAACTAAAATGAGTTACTCTGAAAATTAACATAGAAAAATAATAATTACTGAGTAAATATAAACTGTGGTTAAATAGACTCTGTTTGGAGGGAGAGGAGGTGCATGTACAGGAAATGTTTAAAAGAGGTCAGGGAAGTGGCATTGCAGATAGTTAAGAGGAGGGAGTTAGTTTAATGGAGCATGTTTTATGCCGTGGAAGGATTAGGTCACAGGGAGGTGAGATTGTATTGCAGGAAAGATTTGAATTGGATAAACTGGATAATGTAATGAGGATGATGGGTGTTAATGGCCTAGTAAAGGAAGAAACCAAGAAATCATGGACTTCGGGAAGAGGAATAGAGCCAGTGCTTAGTTGTGTGAGAAAAAAGAGCACTTTCTACAGTCTGGTCATTATCCTAGGGCTTCCTTAATAAACCTGTATGGATCACAGTATAAAAAAAGTTGGGGGGGAAAAATGATAATTTGTTAAAATAGTTAAACATAAGGTAGTAAAATAATAATAAGAGTTTAGTGGGGGGAGACTGTAACCCTACTTAGCATAACCTAACCTAAGCTGTCCCTTACGCTAACCCTAACCATACCTAACCTACCCTAACCATCATTAAAATAGTTATACTTGAGCTAGTAAATATGAAATAAATAAGAGTTTAATAGGGGGACTGTAACTCTACCCAATCTAACTTATCCCTAACTCTAATTTGATCTAACTAAACTAACCTAACCTGTTTCTTACACTAACCCTAACCTTACCTAACCTACTGTTACTATTTTTACCTAACTCAACCCCTGGTAATGCAAAATTGATTATCAAAAATGTTAAAATTATTTTCATTATTCAAGATCGCTTCATTTCAAAACAAGGTAGTAAAATAATATGTAATAAATAATAGTTTAATGGGAGAAAACTCCTTACCCTACCTAATCTAACCTGTCGCTTACACTAACCTTATCTAATCTATGACGGAATGATATTGGTGCTAAAGAATCTAAATACTTATATTTAACGACTTAAATGGTATTGTAATAAATATAAAACATCATAATATCACAAAAGTCAATTTTCACGAAGATATACTATTCAAGATACCTGCTTCAATACATTGTGGATAGTCAAAAGAATTTTAAGTGAAAAAATAAACAGAAAGTCGATAAACCTGACAAAGGATGATTATCAAATTGACCTGTCGGAGGCCAATTTTTGATATATCCAGTGCAGTGGACAACTGCGTAATTGTGGCCATCTCTTGACGGGCCCAGCGAATTTCTCTGCTTGTGCCGATTCAGATGGCTCACTGTCAGTGTGTCCGGTCCGACATTTCCCACTTGCATTCTACATATGAATCCCCTCCGGGAACCCATACACAGTCTCATTGATGCTGAAATACAAAAGTCGTTAATTTTCTTTTATATTATGACATTTACTAAATTGTCTAACATTGGTGGCCTTCTTTCTTCACAGTTCCAGTCTTTAAATCCAAAATCCTGCCAGAATTCTGTGGCTCTTGGGTTGAAAGTTGTTCCCGTACTTTGTCCACATCTTCTGGATGGAGGTGCTCATAAATAACAGAACCATACCAATCGTTCTACAAATTTAAAAAATTTCTTCAATTAAATATTATATTTAATTAATGATAATATGTATTATGTATCAGTAAATACCTGTGATTGGTTTAAAACAGGTGTGACAGAGTCAGATACATAAATTACACGTCCAGTGTCACACGTAACAACAAATAAAAATCCATCAGCAGCTTCTAAGATTAAATGTTTCAATTCCTGGTCAGTTAAAAACGATGGTTTATACGTGCCATCCGAACTTGTGTTTCCTGTTCCTGAAAAGTTTTAACTCATGAATCGTTTCTTGTTTGTAAGCAAACAACAACTGGAATAATACAACATTAGACATATATTTATGTAACAATACATTAGAGACAAAACAGAAAAAATGTGATTACTTTATCTCTCATTTACTCTTATCAAACATAACAAAAATGTAAAAAAGACATTTTTTTATATAAAGAACAAAAATTCCTCCTCCTCCTGGAGGCCAGAATTGTATGTGGCACCTTATGGATTTTAAGATAATGTAGATGGAAAAGGATACTCCTATACTGGTGTGAGGACTGAATATTGTACATTGTACATTCTGGAATAATATCTCATTGAATGAGAACTTATTCTCAATCAACTGTCTGATTGAGTTTTTGCAATATGGTGTGCCTCAAAAGTGTTCAGGGCTGATAGGTGTCCTCATCAGACAAATTGACCTCCTTGTTGCTTCTCTGGTACTTGAATAATTATGTTGTTATCAGACCGCCCTGTCCAACTTAATCAAAATCTGAGGAATGATGAACCTGAAGTTTGTACATTTTTCGAACATTCTGGTTAACCAGGCAGACCAGGTATACAAGAACCAGGTTGAAAAGTATATATAATACTACAACTTTATATACTTTATTATTATATTTGAAATAATAAAATGTCAAAATTAATGAAAAGTGTACTATTTACATCATGCCTGTGTGCGATATGAAAGTTGTCTTAAGTCTAATTGATGCTTTAAGACCATAAAGTAATGGGGGAAAAACCCCAACAAAGTTTCTGCTTAAAGTGTTAGATGTATTGGCCACTATTTCTATTCACGAATAATATGGATCTCGGTGTGATCTGAATGAAAACCAATTCAATTGTTACTGCAAGCCTTTGACTTATCCTAATCCTAACCTCTAACCCTAACCTAACCAGTCCCTTACAGCTTTTTTAAATATGGTTATAACATGGACAATTCTGCTATTTTGTTTAAGCTCTAAGACAGTCGTTGGCAATGTTGAGACTTAATTGGTCTTCCAAGAAATTTGAAACCGTTTATTAAAAACTTAATTATGTCAGTTTGTATGTTGTATTATGTAAATATTTACGATTATTTTGTCCTGCAGATCAGGTTTAAATAGGATGAAAGCTAGGTAGTAACAAATGAATTGTTTTTCATCCAGACTGTACAGAGATCCAGATATTTTGTGTGAAAAACCCTAACCCTACTTAACCTAACTTACTGTTCCTAATCCTAATCCTAACCTCTAACCCTAACCTAACCTGTCTCTTACAGTTTTTTTAATTGCAGTTTTCACATGGAAACTTCGGTTATTTTCATTTAGCCATAAGAAAGTCTTTGGCAACGTTGAGACTGAGTCGGTCTTCCAAGAAATTTAAAACCATTTATTAAAGATTAATTACATGAGTTTGTAGATTTATTTAAGATTATTTTAGGCCTGGTGATGGCCTTAAAATAGTTTGAAAGCTTGGCAGATTACAAGTGATTTTTTTAATCCAGGCCATACCGTGATCCAGATTATTCATGTGAAAAACCTTAACCCTACTTAACCTAACTTATTGTTCCTAATCCTAACCCCTAGCACTAACCTAACCTGTCCCTTACAGATTGTTTTATTACGGTTATAAGATGGAAAATTGTGTTATTTTCTTTAAGCTGTAAGACAGTCAATGGGGATGTTGGGTTGTAAAACATAATTGTCGATTTGTAGATATATTTAAGATTATTTTGTCCTGTTGATGACCTTCAAATAGGTCGAAGGCTGGCAGTAACAATTAAATTGTTTTTTCATCCAGACCATACCGACATCCAGATTATTCGTGTGAAAAACCATAACTTTCTGCCCCTAATCCTAACCTCTATGTTATTTCTGTGGAAATTAACGTTTTATTTATCATTACATATTTAAAAATATCGGTAAAAATAGATAAGGCGGCAAATGCGTCTTATGTTTTTCCAATTTTGAAGTTTCCTGGAATAAATGACGTAAAACAGAAGCAATGCGAAGCTACTTAGGTAGGAACGTCCAGCAACGCTGGCACAATAAAAACCGGATGCACGCGGCTTGAATTAAAATGCGTTAGTTAAAACTGAGTAAGTTTTGTGACGGTGCCAAGTTTACAGAATTGAAGCCCTTGAAATAAATATTGCCTTCTTTGAGAAATATACATCCATCCAGCAGGGCGAATTATCGATAAGGAAACGTCAAAATACGCTAGGCAGGAAGTATTTAAATAAATGAAGCAGATATTTTTTCGAGAATTCCGCCCGAGATCGGTGCAAGTTCCAAGGACTTCTTAGAAACGTTTTTATCCGGCTGGCTTTTAACAAATTGGCCTTTCGTCTCAAGCTTTTATTTGGAAGTCTAAATGGCGCGTTAATTTTAATGCCTCCCCCCCAAGACATTTTAACTTTTCAGTTTTTGAACACTATCAGTAACACAATTGATTGTGTCAGATGGTGAAGAAGTAGAAGGATGAAACAGGATGGCATTTTGTACTAAAGGTACAAATCCGAAGAGGCAAAATGGCCGAGGGATACCTTTGGATGGTCTACTCTTCACGAAAGTGAAAGTATGGTGACCAATGAGGTAACGGGTAATAATTAATTAATCGGACTTTTAGAAAGTGATACGCACGATTTTTGGTTTATACGCCATTATTTGTGTTTTACGATGGTTTCGTACAATCCTGTACAACCTCATCGACAGCGGGCAGTAATTACAAAAAGTATGTCATATGAAACAATTTAGCTACAAACCTCCAAAACAGTTTTTTCTTCTGTTGACCATGCGCAATCAATTTTATCTTTTTTTTTAATGGACCAAAAATGATTGTATTATTGACCACTGTTAATTTCAACATGGAGTCTTTCTATATAAAAATGAAACAGTTTTTCTTCATGTATTGGCCGCACAGTCAATTTGAACCCTTTTTTATTTACAAAACAAAAAACAATGGTCCGACGATTTTGACCGCTTAATATAATCGGACCAAAATCGTTTTTCCCTACTATTGACCAATGTCAATTCCAGGTATTTTAATTTAAAAAAATTTCTGAAACAGTTTTTCATGACCATACATCCGATTTTATTAGGATGACTTTTATCCAAAAAATTTCTTCCAAGAAATTTTTCTCTTTTCTTGACCATACAGTCAATTTCAACATAATTTCCTTAAACACACCAAATTGCTCTGAAACTGTTTTTTTTCTTTCTCCATTGACCATACGCAGTCAAATTTTTTTTGTTAAAAAAATTAGACCAAAATATTTTTCTTCTACTATTGACCAGTCAATTTCATTGTGAAGTTTTTCTATATAAAAAACACTCCGAAACAATTTGTTTTTCCATTGATCATGCAGTCAATTCAATCGTTCGTTTTTTTAAATCAAAAAATTGGACCAAAAATGTTTTTCTTCTACTTCTTGCTCTGAAGCTGGTTATTTCTTATTCCATTGACCTGCTCAGTTAAATTCATCGGTTTTTTTTTAATTAAAAAATTTGGACCAAAAATGTTTTTTTTCCTACTCTGTGGTCGATAGTAGAAAAACATTTTTGGTCCAATTTGTTGAATAATTTCATCATGACTTTTTATAAAAAAAAAGAAAAATGAAAGTTTTTTCTTCATATTTTGACCACACAGACTATTTCAACACTGTTTTATAAAAAAAAGTTTGAAGATTTTGATAATTTATTTGGCAGAATTGGACCAAAAAAGTTTTTGTTCTATTATTGACCACAGACAATTCCATCATATCTTTTGCTTTAAAAAAATGTTTTGAAACGGTTTTTCTTCTCATATCGACCATATAGCCAATTTTATTAGGATGTCTTTTTATCCAAAAAATTGCTTCCAAGTATTTTTTCCCTGTTCAGTGACCGTACAGTCAATTCAATCATAATTTCTTTTGACACAACAAATTGCTCTGAAGCTGGTTATTTCTTATTCCATTGACCTGCTCAGTTAAATTCATCGGTTTTTTTATTAAAAAATTTGGACCAAAAATGTTTTTTTTACTACTCTGTGGTCGATAGTAGAAAAACACTTTTTGTCCAATTTGTTGAATAATTTTATCTTGACTTTATAAAAAAAGACAAATGAAACAGTTTTTTCTTCATATTTGGACCACACAGTCGATTTCAACACTTTTTTTTTATAAAAAAAAGTTTGAAGATTTTGATCATTGGCAGAATTGGACCAAAAAAGTTTTTGTTCTACTATTGACCACAGTCAATTCCATCATATCTTTTGCTTTAAAAAAATGTTCTGAAACACTTTTTTAAGAAAATGCTGTGAAACCGTTTTTTCTCCTTCCATACCGTCAATTTAAGATGGTGTCTTTTTATACAAAAAATAGCTCTAAAACAATTTTTCCTTCATATATTTACGACAAAGTCAATTTTAACAATTAGACGTATTACGAAAAAAAAGTGGTTCGAAGAATGTTTTTTTCTTTCCATTGACTGTAGAGTCAATGTCATCATAATAACTTTTTATCCAAGAAAATGCTCTGAAAATATTTTTCTTCATGTAAATTGAAGAAAAGTCAATTTTAACAGTATGTCTTTTTATCAAGAAAAAAGTGGCCGAAGAATGCTTTTCCTTCCATTGAACATACAGTCAATTTCAACATGTCCCGTCTAAAAACTTGCCTCAATGAAGTTTCCACATCTTCCGTTGAACCTAGTCTTTTAAATAGTTATTTTAAAAATAATTTATTTGATCGAAGCAGATGTTAATCTTGCTATGTCCTAGGTAGCACGACGCAGCCCAAGTGCAACAATGCCGCGTCACCTAAAATAGACCTTGCGTTGTCATGGAGGGAAATGACTCTTTCTGTTGACTAATGCAGTCCGCTTTTTCTCAACAGCTGCTTTTAGTTAGTCCGAATTTGGGAACACAATTTGATGAGAGGAACACATACAAAAACAATCCTTCGATTCCAAGTCGTTGTCTCACAAGTTCTAAGTAACTAAAAAAGTATATAAACGAGAAACCACACTTGAGAGCAATTTCCTCTAACGTAGGTACGGAACAAAGATTATTTTATAAAATTTAGGTAAATATTTGCGTTTTAAGATATAGTAGTTGACCATACAGACAATTTGAACACGATCTTTTTATTTTCTTCTTACAGTGACTATAAAGTCAATTTCATCATAATGACTTTTTATCCAGGAAAATTCTCTGAAACCGTTGTTTATGCTTCTATTGATTGTACAGCCGATTTTAACAATGTCTTTGTTCCAAAAAATATCAATAAAACAGTTTTTCCTTCAAATATTGACCAATAATTTCAATAGGATGTCTGTTTAACGAAAAATTGTTTCCAAGAAATATTTTCTACTCCCATTGGACTGACAGTATCCAAGAGAATGCTGTGAAACCGTTTTTTCTCCTTCCATACTGTCAATTTAAGATGGTGTCTTTTTATACAAAAAATAGCTCTGAAACAATTTATCCTTCATATATTTACGACAAAGTTAATTTTAAAGTGGATGAGGAATGTTTTTTCTTGCCACAAGGTCAATTTCAACAATAAAATAAAATTGGTCCGAAGAATACTTACTCCTTTACATTGACCATACAGTAATTTCATTTGGGTGTCTTTTAATTCAAAAACTGCTTCCAAGAAATTTGTTATCTTTTCAGTGACCGTACAATCAATTTTGTTCGTAAGCACTTTTTATAGGAGAAAATGCACTGAAACTGTTTTTTCTTCTTCCATACCTTCAATTTTAAGATGGTATTTTTTATACAAAAAATAGCTCTGAAACAATTTTTCCTTCATATATTTACAAGGTCAATTTTAACAATTAGTCTTAGTAAGAAAAAAAGCGGTATGAAGAATGTTCTTTCTTTCCATTGACCGTACGGTCAATGTCATCGTAATAACTTTTTATGCGATAAAATGCTCTGAAAATATTTTTTCTTCATATATGATGAAGACAAAGCCAATTTCAACAATTAAAAATCAAATTGGTCTGAAATATGCTTTCTCCTTTCCAATCACCATACGGTAATTTCATTTGGACGTCTTTGTATTCAAAAACTGCTTCCAAGAAATTGGTTCTCTTTTCATTGACCGTACAGTCAATTTTCATCTTAAGTACTTTTTATAGGAGAAAATGCACTGAAATTGTTTTTTCTCCTTCCATACTGTCGATTTTAATTGGTGTCTTTTTATACAAAAAATAGCTCTAAAACAATTTTTCCTTCATATATTTACGACAAAGTCAATTTTAACAATTAGACGTATTACGAAAAAAAAAGTGGTTCGAAGAATGTTTTTTTCTTTCCATTGACTGTAGAGTCAATGTCATCATAATAACTTTTTATCCAAGAAAATGCTCTGAAAATATTTCTTCTTCATGTAAATTGAAGACAAAGTCAATTTTAACAGTATGTCTTTTTATCAAGTCTTTTTTATCTTTTGTTATCTTTTATCTTTTTTTTTGTCTTTTTTATCAAAAAGTGGCCGAAGAATGCTTTTCTTTCCATTGACCACAAAGCCAATTTCAACAATTAAAAATAAAATTGGTCTGAAGTAGGCTTTCTCCTTTCCAATCGCCATATAGTAATTTCATTTGGATGTCTTTTTATTCAAAAACTGCTTCCAAGAAATTTGTTCTCTGTTCATTGACCGTACAGGCAATTTAATTTTTTCGAAATTTCTCTATAGCAAAAAGGGAAACCACCAACACTCTTAACTGAAACTATGGGCGCCCTCACGCTCAATTCATTGCTGAGTTGATTAGTATTTTTCTTTATACAAAAACTAATTAAATAAATAAAATAAAACAGTAAAAAGTCGTAAAAGTTTGGTTCCAAGCGAGTGATTTCCCCTTGTCCACCTTTTCTCGCTGGTCGATTTCAAGCGTTGTCGAATTGAGTCGGAGTTTGTTCGGTGGGTATCGTTATAAGTAAAGAAAGTACACGAAATTTGAATTTAGAAGTTTGATTAAAATCTAATTTTACTTGTTCCAGTATTTCCGGTAACTTACATGCCGCCTTAACTCGCAGGATTCCCTTAATCAGGGTGTTTTAACCGCGAGCAATTAAACTGACGATTCTGCGTGTTTGTGAGTGACTTATGGCAGGGATTCTATTAAAACTGATCATAACTTTTTAATTAGTCATGCTCGTCATCAGTCAGAAGGTTGAAAACTGAGAACACCGTTTTTTTGAATCATAGTTATTCGGGTTTAGCAGCCGTAACTTTAGTAGACATGATAGAAACCTTGTTATCCAATCTCCCTGGATATAATGGATATGTGAAAGTCAAACGATTATTTCTTTAGAAGTTACACAGACCGATAAGTAATGTAACCGGTATATCAGTAAAGTTTCCTTGCGGGATTCACCGAGTAGAAAGTAAGACTACATTTCGTGTTTAATCCACTGTTTTTCTCCTTTCTTTGTCTATTTTTGTTTTGTTCTAATTTCCCTTTTATTCTTATCGTTCCTCTTTCCTTGTTATATACAGTAGAACCGTTGCCCCTCTGATCCGTGACACCCAAATGGTAATATTGTTGTTGTCCCAAACGTCTGACAGGCAGTTGGCTATTTTATTGGTAGCAGCCTGCCTTTTGAACTCCCTGAACAACTTTTTGAACATCACTGAAAGACTGTGGCATAGTGTCCAAGGCGGCAGATGAGCCTAAAAGCTCCCAAGGAATTCCGGGATTTTTAAGGGATGGTATCTTTCACCATCAACAATATGTGAGCTGTTGCCAAATTTATATTGGATGTACTTAAGAAATGTATTTTGGATATTTTTAATGCTATTTGTACGGATGCTATAATGTGATCAGACGAGAGACAAATACTCCAAACAGGAACCGTACATATGCATGTATCAAAGCTTTCGAGAGTGCCCACTGACTCCTAAGGGAAATAAAATCAGATCGAAGGAGAAGCCAATAGACAAACTATAGGACACATCAACTTGACAGACCCATCCATGTGATCATAGGAAACCCATCAAAGTGTAAAATCTCCTGTCGTCAAATCTTTGGAAGAAAGGAAATTCCAAGAACTGGGAGTAGGTGTAGGGATAAATGTTCGAATTATTCCCTTGATTCCAACTATCTTTCAAGATGAGATCCATGCTATTCAACTCTGTCCATAGGAGTCGATAAAGAAGAATATGAAAGGTGCACTGATTTACACATTTTCGGACAGTTAGGCTACTATAAGCAGTAAATGAGTATGGTTTTAGCACCAAACTAGTCTGGGAATACTTAACTTATCTAATAGCCCTAGGAAAACACAACTTTGGGGTAAAGATATTTAGAAAACGAACACACCAGAGACTGTGCTATCGAAGGTGGAAAAATGAGAAAGAAGCACTAGACGAAAGCACTAGGCTTGAGGCAAGCTAACAGAAAACAGTGGAACCTTGTCCTCTGGTGCGAAGGCAGAAGGCTTCTATTATCACAATTCGAGGACAGGGCAGAGGGCAGCCGATAAATTGGATAACGAAAATTAGATGAGGACACCTATGGCTCTGAGCCCTTTCACAGCATACCAAACTGTCTAAAACGTAGACCCTTCAGACAATGGGTTAAGAATTCGGTACAATGAGGTTGGAAAAATTTCATTAAAAGGCTATCGAAGAAATCAATGGCAGAACTGTTAAACCTGGGAGTGTAAGGACTAGAATAATAGTAGGACTGCTGACTGGACACTGCACTCCAGAGACATATATATGGACAGGATGAAGAAACAGTGGAAAAAGCCTATGTACGCTGAGATTTCTACCCCTAGGAGAGAAAAAGCAAAAACCTGAAGGATGCACATGGGAGCCGTTAAAAACCTCAAAATTTAAGAGCTCTAGATAATGGAGATTGCACAATAAATCAATATTGGTCGCAATATAAAGAGACCGACTCCTTTCAACCTTAAGCTTTCTGATGACATAGCGATCCTATTCTGTCATTTGGATCTTGTTCTTCCTTCCGTAACCTGCAGTAACATCTTCACCTCGAGCAATCACTTTCACCCTACGTACAAAAACCTGTCCTTTAATCAACTTCAATTCGATGTTATGTATATATCTAGGGTTGTACCAAGACAAGCCTGTTGTAGCTGCCAATTACATTTACAACAATAGGACCTACGTGGCCTGGAATATTACCGGCCTGGAACTTTAGGGCTCGGCCAAACATTTCTATAATCGACGAATTCAAACAGCCAAAAATGGGCAAGCAATCCACATCGATCTAAACAGAGCCTTTGTATATGACAGAATCCTGAACAAGTCCGATAAATTCCACAAAACCCTCCCAGTCACTCATCCATTCATCTAACAGCTCCCATCCCGTAGAATCACGCAAGAAACACGGGATGGCCCACAAAAAAAGAAACCCACGTGACGTAACACGACCCAGAGTTCACACCTTTAAGACAATTCCAATAAAACTAAAGTCAAATCGTTCATAAACGTAAGCATGAACAAACCTCTTAAGGCTTTCATATGAGCCACAGCCATCCTGAGAATAGTCAGTTTGTCTGGCTTTCTTGCTAGGGCGCTGCATGTTGGAACCATGTCCGACAGTTCGGTTATGTAGGCAGTCATCTTGTTTCTCCTACGTCTCTCTATTTCGCAGTGGTTTTCTCGGCTGGAAAAGAAAAACAAAAACCAATGTTTACTAATAATAACTAATTGATATGGTAAGGTTAATTTGTATCTCGTCGACGAGTCGTCTTAAACGAGAATAGCATCATAATGACTAACGCCAGCAATAACAAAACTTTTCATATATCAAGACTGATAACAAATATTATTAATTATATTCAAGAATAATCAGTCTTTCTTTGATTTATTATCATAGTACGATAACCTCCGACCTACGGTGACCTGTTCTGTACATGATGCACCCGATTACAACCTTTGATGTATTATAGTTCCAATTTGATTTTGGTTTAGTTGATGATTTACAAAGTTGAGGTTTTTATAGATTGTTCTATTTCCTATTCGAGTTGTTTTTATTTTTTGTTTACCGCCAATTTAGGTTATCTCTCAATCAGTTGCATTCCTGTCGGCTTTTGGCCAGTAAAATCTTTCAATAATTATCGTTAAGAGGTTCTAAAATAATTTTTAAGCCATTGAAAACGTTAGAACCGGGCTGTAAAGACCGAATTATAAAAACCGACTGGTTAGCACTACACCCGGAGGAAACATGCGAGGGGGTCGCGAAGTCATCGTGTCTTTAAGACGACTTGGCAAGTTATCAGGTTGGGAAAGTATGATTATAAGGCTTGGGCAGTATGATAAGGATGGATGGAAAGCTTGGATTGGAACTTTTGGACACGAGATCCTATCACCTTAGGCTAAAAGAATATTAAGGTCGTTGTGGATTGTGAAGTTATTGATCCAGTAAAGAGCTTTGACGATTTATCTAAGGATTTTTAATTGTTTGAATTGGACACGCTGGATATTGGATGGTTTGGCGGAACCCGACAGTTCCACTCCTTATGCCCAAAATTGTCGCAGTAATGCCTTGTATAGTTAGTTGAGCTTTGACGGATAGATTTAAGCACTAAGAGTATTCGTATAAATCTTTAAGTTGTCGTCTTTTAAGTTAGTGGGAATTCCTCCTCAGTCTGCTGTCTAGATATAGTCCTAGTAAATAGTATCCTAAGCATATATACCTTACACATGTTCCTGTGTGTATCCTTCAATTCCGCTTCTTCCTGGCAATATCTACACAGGTTTGTTTTTGCTCTCATGTATGCCGTTTGAGTCTCCAGAGTCCAGTCAGCAGTCCTACTATCATTACAGTCTTAACACGTTTTAGTTGTCATAGTTGTCCCAGTTTTTAAGTTGTTGTCTCTTCAGTCTTGCGTGAGGATTCCGCTCTGCCGTCGAGGTCGTTGTGGATAATGAAGTTAGTGAGTTTGTCTATGTACCTTGACTGAAAGTCAGTAGGTCCTTTTTATTGGTGTGCATTTTAATTTATAAAGGATGTATGTAAAAGTAAAGCTACTAAGTAACTTTACCTAAGTTATTAAGGTACTTTTCCATTATAAGTCTGAAGTCTATGCCGGTATTCGAATCCAGAACCGCTTGCATGGCGAATACGATTCGGACGCCCTAATCGTTCAACCATCGCAAGAGGCCATCAAAAAGTTACTTAAATTTATCAGGTTGTCAATGTTTGAAAACGGTGACAACTTTGTCGTGGGTTCATTTTCTTCTGACAAGGATTCCACAACGTTCTCAGAGTTTATCGACACATTGGGTCGTCTACCAATAAAACTATTTGTTTTAATGTTTTCGACCTCGGAGAAATGTAAATTAACTCCTGATTTTCCTTCCAATCGGAAAAGCTTGCCCTTAGAAATTCAATCACTCGGTTGGGAAAAGAATGGCCGTCGCGTGGGTCATTCGTCGGTGGGACCTGTGCTCTAGAAGATTGCAATGTGAAAAAGGCGTGACGAATAAATTTTTAATGCGCCCGTGTTAAACATAGAGCATAGAGGGCTCAACGGCCTCGGTACAACGGGGCCGGTGAAGATAAAACGTGAGAACCCTTAGGAATGCTCGTCAAAAAACTGCACCAAATTCATCGAAGAAAGTGAAACAAAACAAAATCTAAGTGTAAAAGTAAAAGGTGTTGAACCGGTTTTCTTATAACAGTGACGGTAACACGGCATATGACCGATTCCGTTCATTATTAAATCCACGCAAACTAGCTGGACGGTTATTGGGTGGAATGAAACCGAAGTCCTGTTATTTTTAGTTAAAATAAGAGGAAACAAATAACTTACATCGTAGAATTAGTCGTGTTTAAAGGAAATATTTAAATGACTCTACGTGGACATGAATATTTCAACTCCTCACTGCATCACTTAAACCGAACTGATTTACCTATCTAATGGCTTATTTCTTTTCTACAATTTTTTGTCAGTGTTAAGCAACATCATTATGCCGTTTTTTGGGACTGTGTTTTACTAAAAGCACAAAAAGAATCCGTCGGAAACACTACATGCTGACTTTCCTATAACTACCACCTACACGTAGGGGCATAATTTTCTTTTAATCTCCAACATCCAAGAACATCTTGACCTTCTCAAAGACTGATGCAAAACGCGAAGATAAGTGGACACCAACAACAAGGAGCTACCGATTTCCAGTCGTCAGATACTTAGCAATACCTAGACAGCAGGCTGACGTGGAATCCGGTGGAATTCGTACATTTACATACACCCTTTATAAACTTACATGAAAACCAACAAAAAGGACCTACCGACTTTCAGTCAAGTCAGATACATAGGACTATACCTAGACAGCAGACTCCGGAGGAATCCGTACACTTGGACAACAACGAAGCCATTTTAGGGCCGAAATTTGTTTTGACTGTCAAAACTCAACTTTGGATATACGGAGAAGAATTTCGGGTGGTTCCGCTACGCCATCCAATATCCAGCGCGTTCAATCTTTCCAGTCATAGGTCCTTAGACAAACTCACTAATTTCACTATCCAAAACAACCTCGACGGCAATCGTCACACAAAAACTGGGACAACTACGGCAACTAAAACGTCTTACGACTAGAACGATAATACGGCTGCTGACTTGACTCTGGAGACTTTGGGCATACGTGAGAGCAAAACCAAGCCTGTGAGGATGTTGCCAGGAAGAAGCAGCGGATCATGTCCACTGTCTGAGCGAAGGCTTGTAGGATACACACAGGAACATGTGTAAGGTATATACAGGGTGAATTGCTACTCGTGCTACAAACTTCTCCAGTAGATTCTTCACCCTAAAATGAACAAAAAAGTTCATATTGTCCATGGTCCGATTCTCAACCATTTCAGAGTAATTTCGCTTTTTATCGATTTTGAAAGATATCACGTCCTGGCGTCGGAAAATCGTGATATCTTTTAATCTAAACATTTCTCTGAAAATCTAATAGCACCGTTGAAATTCCCGTTAATTTTTCAATAAGAAGATGACGGTGGCAAAATGTTTGGGCTAATTTTTTGTGTTTTATTTCAGCCAGAACTACAAAAAGAGTGGAAAATTGTGTAAATCGGAAAGTGTATAAAGTAATCCAGAGTTTCTAATTTTAGTCTCAGAAGGCAGCAAATTTGAGGAAAACTACCTGATTTAATAACGCTTCCAACGCACTCGTCATTTTCTTATTTAGTGGTTGTGAGACCAAGATGTTGATGACAAAAAGAGAAAAAATGGTGGTTCAAGGATTGCTAATGTTTGAGAGTGACTTGCTACTCGTGCTACAAACTTCACCAGTAGATTCTTGACCCTAAAATGAACAAAAAAGTTCATATTGACCATGGTCCGATTCTCAACCATTTCAGAGTAATTTCGCTTTTTATCGATTTTGAAAGATATCACGTCCTGGCGTCGGAAAATCGTGATATCTTTTAATCTAAACATTTCTCTTAAAATCTATAAGCACCGTTGAAATCCCCGTTAATTTTTCAATAAGAAGATGAAGGTGGCAAAACGTTTGGGTCTTTCTTCCTTGACCTTCTAGCTGTTTGTAAACTTCTTAAGCATTACATACTAAATGGGCATTAAATTAAATTAAAAAATTTCAATGGAATTATGATTTTGATTCTCTCTAAAAATTAACGGGGATTTCAACGGTGCTTATAGATTTTAAGAGAAATGTTTAGATTAAAAGATATCACGATTTTCCGACGCCAGGACGTGATATCTTTCAAAATCGATAAAAAGCGAAATTACTCTGAAATGGTTGAGAATCGGACCATGGACAATATGAACTTTTTTGTTCATTTTAGGGTGAAGAATCTACTGGAGAAGTTTGTAGCACGAGTAGCAATTCACCCTGTATACATAGGGAACCCTACACTTAGGACTCTAGACAGCAGACTGAGGAGGAATTCCCAATAACCTATTGACTTATACAACTACGAATACTCTTAGGAGTGAAAGATGTACGTCAAAGCTAAACTAACTCTATTCAGGGCATTACTGCGACCATTTTGTACATTCGGAGTGGAATTCTTGGGTCACGCCAAGCCATCCAAACAATCAAAAATCCTTAGATAAATCGTCAAAGTTCATGCTGCATCTTTAACTTCACTATCTACAACGACCTCAACATGCTTTTTGTCTGAGGTGATAGGTTCTCGTGTCCAAAAGTTTCAATCCAAGCTTTCGATCCATCCTTACCATACTGCCCAAGCCTTATCTACTCTACACTTTCCCAATCGGATAACCTTTCAAGTCGGCTTAAAAGACGATAAACTCGAGATAGAGATTGAGATAGAGAGAGATATGATATGAATGAAGATATGAAGATAGAGTTTGACGGGAATGTGCAGAGGATATGAACTGCCAGTTAATGTCATCTGATAGAGGAGAGAACCAGAACTAGGAAGAGTAAAACCGCTTTAAATCAAGTGGGATCCTTCTTGGGTAGCTGAAGGTAAAACGTGCTTATCTCCAAGCTCCCAAGTTATTCCCTTTTGCCCAATACACATTGAGCAAGAATAAAGGAGGAAACTAGTAGCCTTCGCGTACTAAAGCGGAGAAGGTCAGAGTGTGGAAAAGCAGCGTCGGGAAATCTGGGGCTTCCGGGAGGTCTGATCAAAGACGGACCCAAGGTTCTTGAAGATGGGACAGA